AATCACTTTTATCAAATCGTAGGTAGAAGAGAAAACTGTGTTGCTGTTTACGTCTCACTCTTTCTTCACTTTAGATTTCAGAGCTTAAAACAGCTCGGCAGCTGGCATCCGAGGTCACATCTAAAGGAGCATCTCTGTATGATTTGCTGGGAAAAGAGGTGGAACTAAGGGTGAGTGAAAACACAGATATCAACATACACACATACTGGTTTCCATTTTCCTTGATCTCGAGTCCCCACAATTCTTGACAGTTAAAAAAAAAAGTTAATGTAAAATGTTTTTGTAAGGTCAAAATTCAGAAATGCCAAATTGTATACAGTGAGATACCATAAAACTTCAATTAATAGCCCCAACTTTTATTTACTTCAATCACTAAACTCACTGTGCCTATATTTGGATCAGGCCTTTAATTCCTTACTCACAAAACTTTTGCTCAGCTAAGATGGGAAATAGGCTATTATGACATTGTTTATTTCCACCAGAATGAATTTTGCTTGTATAAAAATTTGGCTATCGGATAACATATCCATTATGAATCATTAATTTGATCTAGCTCTGAGAGGCAGCGTGTCTCGGCCAACCTCCTGCACAGAGAGAGAGAGGGAGACTACAGAAGAAGGGATGAAACCAAGAGTTACCGTAGTTATTTCAACTTGGATTAGTTTTTATTAAAAAAAAAGATTTTACTTTTTTTTTTTTTTATTGGTGGACCCTTAAGGTCTAAAATCATCAAGCAGTGGACACATATTAGGACTTAATGACTGCTTTAAAGGTATCATTGATAATAAAATGTTTCCATAAAATGAACTGAACGATTAAATTATTGAGAATCTAACTGATGTACGATGTGTAGCATGTCCATATTAACAAAAGCTTAAATATTTATATTTGCATGTGTGATATAACCCAGTGGGCTTTAAGAGCCTTCATGCATCCAGAGAACTTAAAAAATAAAAATTAGACCAGGTGTCTCATTCAGACCTGTGTTCATTTGTCAACAAGTAGCCACACCAGGCTAGTGAAAGGGTCAGGCGTCTACTTGGCTTCTAGGCTTTTAATTGAAATTTTATGGTACGTGTTTTAAGACACAATGTAATGTTTTGTAAAGATTTCAGAAGTTTGAATGTACTTATTTTTATTTTCTTAATTAAACATCTTTCTTCAATCTTTCTTATCTGCCATAAAACTGCCTGGCCATTGATTAACTTTTGAACCTTAAGCTATTCTGCTGTAAGTGCTGATCAGACATTAACAGCAGGACAGTTGTAATACAGACATTACATTAAAGACATTAGTGACACTGATGCAGGCAATTTCTCTGCTGTCTTTTTTTTAATGTCCTCCCAGGAAATGAGAACTGCGGCCATTGCCAGACCTCTGGAGGTCAATGAGACTGAAAAGGCCCTGAAAGCTGCCATCAAGGAGGTTTTGGTATGTACTGATCCTGATAGTCCTCATTTTTTTTTTTAAATCACGCAGGACCTGTTTTTATCTATGAAATGACACTGATTATGCCACCACGCCTTTGTTTTTGTTGTCAAGGAAAGTGTGGAGAAGACCAAAGACATGCTGAGTAATGTTGTTTCTGATGAAACCAGTCTGGACAATAAGATAGAAAAGAAGAAGCAGGACCTGGAGAGGAATCGGAAGAGGCTCCAGACTCTGCAGAGTGTCAGGTCAGTCCAAAGGGACAGGTAGCATACAGACAAAAGGACAGGATTAACTTAAAACTTGAATTTGATCTGAATTATTTGCACTGATTGCTCCAAATGTTTGTCATCCAGGTTGTGTTTTTTTTAAGCTTTTAGGCATCTTAAAGTTTTCTTTCTTGGACTTGCAGCAAGATTTTAAACAAAACTTTGACTTTTATCACCCGCTTGTAAGTGCTTGTTTTTTTGTTCCTCCCTCAATCTTTTAGGCCCGCCTTCATGGATGAATATGAGAAGATAGAGGAAGATCTACAGAAGCAATATGACACCTATGTAGAGAAGTTCAGGAACCTTTGCTTCCTGGAGTCTCAGCTGGATGAATACCATAGACTGGAGCAGGAGAGATTTGAGGTGTGTGTGTGTGTGTGTGTGTGTGTGTGTGTGTGTGTGTGTGTGTGTGTGTGTGTGTGTGTGTGTGTGTGTGTGTGTGTGTGTGTATAGAATGACTTCTTATGGAACTGCTTGTATGTAACCAACTTTTACATATTTTAACTTAAACATGTAACTGAATGGAAAAAGTGTTTGTCCTTTTTTTCCACTGCAGGAGGCTGAGAACACACTGAGGATGATGCAGCACAAACTGAGGGAGGAGGAGAGGGATCTGATGAGGAGTTCCTGTGAGACAACCAATTACACACACACACACACACACACTGTGAACGCAAAAGCAATACTCGCATAATCCCGACCCCTTTTAATTATTTCACGTTTTCATCATTTCCTTTCATATGTTTTCTGCAGTGAAAGATGAGGATTCCGATATGGACGTCCCAGAGGACGAAGGTACAGACAGCGACATGGAAGAATGTCGACCTTCTAAGCCACGGCCCACACGAAACGGCATTGTGGCAGGTACACAGAAAAGAGACATAGCTTTGTTATGATCAACTGTTATTTGCTTGGGGAAAATGATAAGACTAAGATGATCTCCATTATGTTCTGCTTTCCATGATTCTGATCTCAGTCCATTAAAACTTACCAAAAGTAACATAATTTAGCAACCCACTTTTATTTAAATTGATTGTTGCCTCTTTTTGCACCATAGGACGAGGAGCTCGATTCATCGGGAACATGCAGGGTGGTGATAGTGATGAGGTTAGTACTGTCATAGCAACATCAGCACAAGATTCCTTATTTTTTTGATGCAGCAAGCATCTCTTCATTTTGTGTGCTACAATTTGTAAAATGTAAAGACTTTCTTTGCTGATTTTTCTCTCAGTGGTCCTAGATGGCGCTCTTTGTGCTGTCTCTCTCGCTACAGGATGACATGCTGCTTACTTTTCTGTCAGTTTTAGTGTCACGTACATCAGCTCTGATCAGTTTCACATCCCCTTTGGATTTCCATCTTGTACTCTTTTCTGTATCTTACGTTTCTCTGTCACTCATTGTATTTCAAAAGCCCGCTTTAGCTGTTGCCAGAGGGTCAAACCCTCATGCAAAAAAACAACGGAAAGGAAAGGTTTGTGCAGGACCAGGCTCTAGTTCACCACTTGTTCTTCTGTGTGTTTAAAGGAAAAATCCATTCTCAAATTCTCTGACACGTTAGGGGTTGTTAGCACAGGACAAGGAGTGGATCCTCATCAGTTGCATGAGTACCATGTATCCTCACAAAAATAACTGTCGGGAGTGCAGGTGCAGGGGGAGAACAGGTGACAAGGTGGAGAAGAAGTATGCCTAAAGCTGGCAGACCTGCTGCACTGGTTAAAGCTACACAGTGATTTCAAGGTTGATTTTAAGTACACAGATCTCTAGTGCATATGACTATTTTTTGCATCAAACACCACTTCATTGCATTCTGCTCCATTGATGCATCTATGGGTGTAACATTTTTATATTTCTGTTTCTTCTATAATGCCTCTATTATTTTTTTAAAACATTGGTGCAGACGTTTTTAACAGTGTTGGCGTGTTTGGAATGGATTTTTCCTTTTAAATTAGGTAAATGGTCCCAGTAGATGTCTGGTTACAGGTGGACATATCCCACTGGACATGTGAGGTGACTCAGTGATTAGATCCTTCTGTTTTAATTGATGTTATTGTAAGACATTAGCTAATTCAGTGTTTTGTTAAAATGAAAGCATGGCCCTCCCTGTTGTAGCTGCACATTGTGTGTAGAATAATTGACCTGTAAAAGGAAAGTTGACATATTTACTCATTTCACTGAAACTATGAGCTTTCGGTTATTGTCGTAATTAAATGTTCCTGCTTGCCTACTGTTTCAGACTGAAGACAGCGAGATTGATGTGGACGAGGATGACGAGGAAGAGGAGGAAGGAGAGGAGGATGAGGAGGAGGAGAGCAAGGATTTGGAGGATGAGAGTGTGGAAGGCCCGGTATCTAGGGGTGCTCGCCCCTCCAGGGGGGGCATTAGACCTCCTCTGCTCGAGGAGAGCGATAATGACTTCTGACTGAAGCGCACTCACACATACAGATGAGCTCTAGCTGTTTCTGTATCTCTGTTCAGATTAAACCATTTTGTTACTTGAAATATGCATTAAAAATTATGTTCCATCGTGTTGTTATTGCAACATAAAGCATCAATATAGTTCTACTTTTGAATGTTTGTGTAAACTGTTACCTTAATAAAATATTAACAATTTAATATCTCTTCTGTGTCCCTTGACTGAAGTATGACAGCAGCGTAAAATGTTATTGTCCTTTAGAGTTAATCAGTCATATATTGAAGTATTGACATTTTGTGCAATTTTATACTTTATACTCCACTATGATTTGAGAGGAAAACACTCAACTTTGGCATTTAGATAAACACTATGTGGTCAGCTTTTAAATTTGTATCTAAATGAGATATATATTTTCTTTGACACAAAAGAAATTCGTTGTTTTATACTAAAAATGAGTTTTAGAGCTATTTAAAATGTAAAACATCAAGAATATTTAACTTGACATATACTTTGCTGTTGCAGTGTGGAAGATCTGCAGTACTTTGTTGTTAATAGGAACACTTAAGGTACATTAAACAGAAATTCTCTAGAATAATTGACTTCGTAATTAACGACAGGTTAGGCTACGATAAGGCAAGATGTGTTCAAAAATCGGGATAGGAATTACGATACACCTCAAGCTGTCTATGACATATTTAATCTTTGCCAACCACAATTGTTACACTCTGTAAAAAAAAAAAAAAAGAAAAAAAAAAGAAAATGACTAAATAGAAGAAATCCACATTTCTTGATTTCTAAGTATAACTAAGTAGTATTTACCCAAAAGGGTTAGAAGTAGGCTACAGTGATTGATGTCCTCTAAAATGTAGTGGTGTAAATAAGCTGAAACAAAGACAGAAGCTACGTCATCAGAGTGCGCGCTGGTTTCAGATAGGAGGTGGCAGATGCCTCTTCGAAACAACAGTCAATTGTCGTCTACTTACGAACTGTTTTTCCTCTCATACTGGTATGAAACCATGTTTATACTTGAACGTTTGTGGATTGTGATAGCTATGCTCTTAAGTAAGTTTCGGCAACGTTAAATAGGGGGTGTCCGGCTCTTTGACAAACATACCAGTCTTGTTTATCAGGCTAACATCAGCTAGCCATAGCTAACTAGCTACACTGACAAGTAAAACTGCTGTAGTTTATTATAAAACATTTTTTTATAATATGCACTTATAGCTTAGTTAACCTCCTCTGTGCCAACGTTTTTTCTAACACGCATTTTCAAACTGATGCTTTGTTATTATGGTAACCATCTAACAAGAACAACTGGCATGCGTTAATTTAACGTTGCTTTATTTACACATTAACGTTAACGAAATTATTTAGGTGCCTTTTGATTACTACTTAAAGTTACTCATCTTTCTCAAAAGAGCGGCTGCACATTACTCATAATATAAACACTGCAAGTTGAGCAATCATAGTTAAATACATAGGTGATAAAGACCAAAAAGAAAAGTCTTTAGCCTACCACTTTGACATAAATGTAATTTCATGTAGGGTTTTGCATCAATGTAGGTATTGGCATGGTTAAATTATATTTAAAACTGGCTATCAGCCTTGAAAAAACTTCTTAGTAAAACTCTTCTGATTGGTCTCTTGTATTTCCTTGTCACTCAGCTGAAGAGCAGCGGTTGGGATGCCAAAGAAGTTCCAGGGCGAGAACTCTAAGGCGGCCACTGCCAGAGCCCGCAAGGCCGAGGCCAAGGCAGTGGAAGACGCCCGCAAAAAGCAGCAGGAAGAAGATGCTCTGTGGCAGGAAACTGACAAACATGTACTCAAGAAAGGGCAGAGAAAGGTGAGCTGTCCCTCTGGTGTGGGGTCATGTTCAAATTTGGGAAATTTCATAGTTGTGCTGCTCACTTTGGCTTCAACTATTAGCTCTTTTAAAGAAGTTCTCTCACTTTGCTACTTCTTGGATTATGGCGTGTACATATAATGTATAATAATAATAATAAAATGAAGTCTCTGTTTTTGATCTTGTCACACACCCATAGTCTAGATGGGGAAAAAAGGTTTAATTGTTCCTAGTGGGACATTTGGCTGTTGTATTAGTAAGCAAAACCGTGGATTTGGTGAAACGTTACACCCCTAGCTATAATACATGTATACACAGCACAAACCTCTGATGAAACAGCTTTCTGCTGTTGCAGGATGACAGGGAGAAGAAGAGGCTTGAGCTTCTAGAGAGGAAAAAGGAAAACCAGAGACTTCTTGATGAGGAGAGTGCTAGGCTGAGAGGCAAATCCCAGAAGGAAGCTGGATCTGGTGGAAAAGTTACTCGTGCACAGATTGAGGAGACACTTGAGAATGAGCAGCAGCAACATGACAAGGAGCAGCTCAAGCCAAAAGGTAAGGTTTTGGTTGAAGATGACAAAGTACGCTGGTTAGAATTAAGATGGAACTTCAGTGGAGATCAGATACAATCTAGCAGCATCGTGTTTTGAGAATCAAAATAAAATTTCTTTACAATGACACAACCTCTGTCATGTTTCAAATCAAATTTCTTCTCACAGAAAAGAGCCACCTGGAGATTCCACTGGAGGAGAACGTGAACAGAATTATCCCTGAAGAAGGAACTGTGGAAGCCAGAACAATAGAAGATGCCATCGCTGTGCTCAGGTATAAATCATTTCTAAGGGCTATGGAACAGCAATGATGACTTGTGAATGTTAACAAACAATCATTACATCCTCTCATCCTGTCTCCCTTGTCTCCAGCACGGGGCCTGAGGATCTGGACCAACACCCGGAGCGGAGGATGAAGGCAGCATTTGCTGCTTATGAGGAAGCCAGCATGCCTCGCCTAAAAATGGAAAACCCCAACATGAGGTTGTCGCAGCTGAAGCAACTGTTGAAGAAAGAGTGGATGAAGGCGCCAGAGAACCCCTTGAACCAACGTTTTGCCACTTACAACTTAAAGTGAATGCACTCCTTCCCCGTCATATCTCCATTTGAAAAATGTCTGCCTATGCACATTGGAGAAAAGTTGAATACTTTAAAAATGAGTGTTGCTGACGATAGCTTCACCATTACCCGCCCAGAAACCAGAGGACTCGGCTTTGTTGTTCCATAAATTAGCAGAGAGAAGCTCATTTTCCTCTTTCAAGGTCACAACTGATATCATATCTGTGCACATGGCCTAATGATGCACTTCAGCATCAAATAAATTGAATTACTTTTTTTTAGCACTTCTGGGGAGGTGGGAAGCCTGATGTTTTGAGAGTAACTTATTAAAGTTCACCACTCGATCATCAACATCTCTTGTTGCTTTTTAATGCCAGACTTCTCTCTTGATGTTACATGAAGGCACATAAATCACGTCACACACTGAAGTCAAACATTTTTGCCAGCTGCTGCTGCTGTGCAATGCTTTTTCTGAAGAGAAGATGGAGTTACAGAGTTTAAGCTTTACTTTTCATTCATGGAGAACGTTGAATATAGTTTTGTGTCCAGGGTTTAAAAAAAAAAGCTCACCAGCAAAAATTGTGGTATATTTAAAATTGCTGTGGCTGAAAATTACTTGTTTCCTTTTAGTTATTTTGGCAAGTAACCAGTTTCTTTGAAGGAGCCGTTTGCTTATTGCACATTGCAATGAAGCCAATGTCACCAGTGAAGTGCATTTTCTACTAAGATCTTTCACTGTGTGTTTTAAATTTGACACTTCATTCAACCCCAGAGTTAGATATTAACATTAAATCTTGTCAGAGGCCCGATAATCTACTTTTGCCAATAAAAGAAACTGTTACTTCATTGCCTCATAACTCAATGGCAGAAATGGAGCGCTTATTCAGCTACGTTTACAGGCACAGAGATGCTCTGTAATATATTGTTAGTACTTAAAAAACTTCAGCACCAGGTTTACACAACAAATATTAAAGATGTTTTTTTTTTTCTTTTGTAACCATCTCCAGGCATCAAACTGTGACTCCCTTATCTTCTCTAGCAGACCCGTTGGCTTTAAGCCAACACTGACTTCCAGGTCCTATTATCTTGACAACTTTAGTGGGCTAGTGAAATGAAAGAAGATGGTGATTCAGAAAACAGAGGACTTGTTATGAGCCAAACACTCAGGGCTGTGTTGGTGCTGTGTTTAAATTGTGTTTTCAAAATAAGTTGGTGCAGAACTGGGTCATACACTACTATTTAAAGATTTTTCTCTAGTAGTCTTCACAACAAAACAAGTTCAATTCAGTTAATTGCAACAACAACATTAACTTCTTAGGGAAATACTTCCTTTTGTTTTTCCAGAATTATTTATGTAGGATTTTGATGAAACACAGCCATGGTAAAAGTTGTTGTTGCTTTTTAATTAGTTTTGTATTCATTTATAGGACCAGCAATGGTGTCCAGTGCTGCCGTTGGTCACAAAGGTTTTCTCCAACGCAGCAACATTCATATAGTAAGCTGCTGAGGCAGCAAGCTGTAGGCTTTGTAGGTTTGTCCGATGCCAGGTGGAGAGACAGAAAGCAGGGATAAAAACTGACGTTTAACGGCCTAAATGTAAGCAAAACATACTACAGGTAAAACAAGATAAACAATTGAACTGAAATATTTGCAGTATTTTTTGGGAAATGGGGTTTAAGCACTCAACAAGGCTCCACCACTGGCCTTTAAACCAAAAGAGTGTTAAACTAAAATATGCAGAGCAAGTGTAGCCATCCACAGGTTTTAAATACAAGGAACAAGGTTTATTTGTCATATTAGAACAGAGTTGTAAAATGTTATTCAGTTTGTAGATTTAAAAAATGATATACTGAAATTCTACATGGATGACTGCTAGAATAATGCAAAAGATGTTTTTTTTCTTGACCATTGATCAAGAAAAGCAATTACATTTCTGTAAATAGTTTGTAGTTATATTAAATGCCATGTACTTCACACTGAAAGGCATCAGACCTGTTTCATGTTTGCAGGTCTTTCATTTCTAAATAGAAAACAGTGTTGGGGAGTTACTAGTCACTAGTAACTTAGTTACGTAAATGTTGCTGTAATCCATTACAGTTACTGGGGAAAAAACGTAAATAAATTATGGTTACTTATAAAAAATGTTCATGATTACATTGGGGGTTACATCTGAATATTTTATGTAAAAAGCTAGGCTATAAGTTAAATAATATTCATTTTGTTGCTTTGCATGTTTTTCATGTGCACAATGTCTTCCCTTGCCAATTCCAGTCACAGCTGTTTAGTAAAAATCAATTCTATTCTGATGCTTATGATTGGTTCTCATGTTTGAATTTGCAGCACCTTTCCTTCTTAAGCTATCTTTTAAAAATGGTTAACAGTTGAAAACATTCATTAGAAATTATGAAAGTAATCAAAAAGCAATTAAATGTAATTGTTTACATTACTTTGATAAAGTAATATATAATATTTACACTACTATTCAATTTTAAATAGGTTAACTTGTAATCAGTAAGTTATTACATTTAGAAAGTAACCTTTCCAACACTGATAGCAACAAATAAAACTTGGTACTCATTGAGAAAACTCTCCTGCGTACTGAATGTAGGTTTTGAACATTTGAGGAGGTGGACGTCCCATGACAGTGGTCTGTTTTTATTATATATATATATATATATATATATATATATATATATACAATTTTTTCAAAGTTGTTCCTGTTGATACATTTGTGGGCTCATCTAGGACACATCTGAGGAGGCCTTCTACTCACTCACTTGATTCATTCAGAACCAGATTGAAAAATGGCCACCTTTGTCCAGCCAGGCTCTTGTGGCGGAGGAGATAAGAGACTGTGCGAAGGCCTTTGAACCACAGAGATTCAATGACAAGTTCAATTGACCTTTTATTTTCCTTTTTGCATTCAAAGATACCAGTTGCTTCTATTTCCCCTAGCAACTAATCACTCTACTCCCAATTTATAGGGATTTCTTTGAGCTTCCATGTGTGATGTTCCGCATTATTACTCTGGTCTGATGTTACAGGTTTTTGTTTTTCTGCATCTGAACCCGTTGTTGCTCCCTCCCACTCCCTGTCTATTTGCATGGCAACCCTTTACCAGGCCAGCTGCTGCTGCCCTTTTCTTTCTTCTTGTTGAATTCTAATCATTACTTTCAAAGGAAAGCGTCTCCAAAGCTCCTTTATCAAGTGTTCGAGTGTTCGTTCTGGGAGGAGGTAATCCGCCGTCCAGCACCCACTCACTTCTGCTTAACACTTCTGTTCTGCAAATTCGGAGCATTTCGTATTTGTAACTTGCCTTTTCAAGTTTGGAGAAAAATAACAAGGTAAGAATCACCAGTAGTAGTGGGGATTTGTTCATACTTGACTTTTATTTATTAAGTAGAAAATTATAAATAACTAAGATTGCAGTTGAAGGGTTAAAGTCCAAATAGGACAACTACCATTTGGAATAATTCATATTGTGTTCTTAAAAATGATTAGCAGCCATGAAAAAAGATACCTAAGTTTTAAAGCAAGTTAAGTATTACAGTTCTTATTACAGTTCTCAAGCTGTTATCTTTTGAGTGTTTATATTTAGTCTGGGGTTTATTTAAGAGCGAAACCATATTACATGCTGTTAGCTCCTTTTTTTAATTTGTAGGAAGACAATGTATCTACCTTTTTTAGGCTGAGCTCTCGGAGCAAAACATACAGTATACATCATGTAGCATCAGTCCTCTTGTATGTCGCAGAAGGATAACATCAGTACTTTTCTAAAAATGTGACAATTTTTAGGGTTTCAGTGATTGAATGATGTTCACTGACTAAAGGTCTTGCTTTACAAGGAACAGTTCTGTTTTGTACAATGATACAAAATTGCATCCACAATCTTTGTGGAAATTTAGGAATTTGGTAGCACTTAAATTACTATGAATTGCTTTTCTCCAACTTAGTTAAATCATGGGTGCAACTGAGCAATATAATTCTGAGCCTTCCTGATTTCCATGTCCAGTAGACTAACATAAGAGGGGGGGGGGTCGCATCTGCTTTTGACAGAATGTGTCACATTCATAACCAGCTGAACACACAATTTGAAATTAAACAAATGGTTGCTTTTCTAACACTGATGATTTTGCCTTGGAAAAATACTCCATGTGTAAGAATGTGTATTATTAGTCAAATAACACACTGTTCTATTTACATTTTAAGGATGAAGTATTTTTAAGTAATCTTTTTCCATGTTTCACATTGAGCAAAGGCGTTATTGAGGTCGAAGACAGAAAGCAGAGCTTTAAAATACTTTATTTTTTAAAGCAAAGTTGGCCGTGTGCTCAGGCAGAAAAACAGGTTTCAGACCCAAATGCAGGACAAAACTAGGCAGGAATAGTTTTACTGATTTATTAAAGCTAAACATAAAGCATACAAACTCACTTGTGGAAATGTCCGTCAACAATAGAATCCAAGCGTGGTAATCCAACACAAACAGGTAATCCAAAACAGAGAGGTGAATGCAAAAAGGCAAATGAACAGTCCAAATCCAAAAGAAGTACAAAAAGTATCAAAACGGGAAAGAAACTAAATTCATTAATTGACAATGAGGACACACCAAGGACTGAACAAAACTAAGTAGATTAAATGCAGGCACAAAGGAGCAGGAAAGGAGTGAAAAGTTGAAAGACATTAGGAGCAAATCATTTCCAAACAGGAAATAAAGCTAAACAAAAACACCAGACACAGACAGCTCCAACATAAATCAGGAGGTAAAACTCACAAAAACACTTGAGGACCACTTTAACAGAATAAAACAGAGAACAGAATGAATGAACTACTGACAAAACCTTAGGACAAGGAACACGAACACAGACAGAAGGTGAATAACAACTAACATACACGGGGAAAAGCATAACTAAGAATAACACAGGAAAATTCTGAACACAAAAATCAACACCATAACAATTAGTTTCTATGTTCCTTCTGTAGCATGTGCACACTTTTAGATGTTTCTATTTTGCTTGCGTCATTTGCAGATCCTTCTGCAGCGCAAGCTTTATACCTTCTGCTCATTTATGAGCTATGTTTGTGGCAAAACAGGACATGAATCGATGGAAACTGAGTGCACGTCATTCATACGTAACATCCTGCATTCAAATATATTTCAGGATCTTTGTTGTATGCCATCCTCCTCTTTCTCATCTTCCCTCTTTCTTTCCAGTTACACTTAAAAAATGATCAGTGTGCGTGTGATCTCATTTCAGCTCTGCAGTGATGCCATGAGGTTAATTCTGGTTAAACCCACCAATGCAACACGGCGTCTTGACTCAACAGGAGAAGTCTTCCATGATGGCGACCATGAGCATTGTACCTCAGGAGGTCCGTCACCTCTGACAAAAACATCTGAGGGTGGGGTGCGTGAACGATATTCGGGTACCTCTGTGGAAGCGCCGTCTTCCCCACAGGAGACAAGTTTGTGCTGTGTTTCATCTTCACCCTACGGAAGTTCTAATGGAATCAGTCCACCAAGAGTTTCATCCCAGATGTCGCCACTGAAAACCCAAAACCTAACGTTATCACAGCTGAGTGATCAAGACTGGCTGTTGCTTTGTGGTCAGGTTAGCAGCGAAGGAGATGATTCGCCCTCAGCACAGAGAGCAGGGACCAGTGTGGGACATCCAAGCCACAGTGACAGATGTGGTTGTTCCTGTCTTGATGCACACCAACATTCAGATGCTTCTACTTTCCATCCCCAGTCAAAACAGGGCACCATCCAAGACTGCCTCGCCAGAGTTTCAAACAAGAGAAGCCTTTCATCGTCACCACACACTCAGCCTTTCTCTCAAGCTCCGACCACTTGCCAGGTTTTACCACAGCAAACAAACCAAAGGGATCTTTTGAAACCTGCAACAAACCATTCACAGGACAATTTCATGCTCCAGTGCAGAGACCAAGAAGGTCAAAGGGAGCTATTGCAGCACCCTTGCAATCATTTCAAACTTAAAGACAGCAGCCAAGCAACTTGTCCAAATTTATTCAACATTCCTCTGAACCCCATCGAGTGTGTTGAGACAAATCAAAAACTTCACCAACACCCTCAGCCTGCTGTCACTGCAGAGCTCAACTGGAGAGAGCTTTTTGGTAAAGAGCCGGTGTTAGTTCAGCAACGTCAAAAGCAAGGCTCTCACTGCCCGACAAGTGGTGATCAAACCTGCAAGTCATCTGGAGATTCCTCCATCATCCTCAAGTGCCGTCATCTACCTTACAGTCCTTTAACCAGCGCTCCACGGGTGAAGAGGTCGTCTACTCCAGCCAGTAACAAAAGTGTCCGGTCCTTCTCCAACAGCCAGTATAGTTCACTTGAGAACCAGGATTTTGTGGGGGAGAGGGCTAGACAGCGACAAAGTCAGGTAAGTTAATTTTCTTTAAATGCTGCAGCTTCTTGACCTGGTGTGGGAGGTCATTTCTCAAACATGTGAAATAAGTCTTATGGAAAAGAATCCATTATACCTGGACGTCATTACATGTACGTGTACATTTGAAGGAAGATTTTCTACCAAAATCTGAAATGAATTTATACAAATAGAGTGATTTCTACAGCATGAAAGTTTGCCACTGATGCGGTGCTCTTTCAAAGTCTTTCTTTGTGCAACTTTAATTGTCGCTTAAAGGCAAAAAGCATTACAAATTATTTTAATATGATGTATATCCCACTTTTAAAAAATTTGTCCAGTTCCTGATCTTAAAGGCAGATATGTTCTTGTTGTTGCAGTCTTATTGTTACATTTATATTACATACACTATGTTGTCTGATTAATTACATGCCCTGCGCTGACTGTCTTACTTTCTTTTGCAGACAAGCTCTCAGCACCTTAGAGGATCAAAACTATCAATTCCTAAACACACTCCTCCACCTTCTGACGCCCTAGAAACTGGAGACACAGTCAACGGGGATGCAGTGCGACCGCTGAGCAGCCATGGCACTTTAAGATCCAGTCTTGCAGATCTCCCCTTGGGCCAGCAGCCTCTTCAGCTTCTTCACAGTACCATCCTGGAGGACGCCTTCTCCAAAGTCATCAGAGACGATTCCAGCAAGGCCAACAGTGAAAACCTGACCAGAGATGAAGGCAGCGTACCGCAGAAGAAGAGCAAGGACATTAGCTACCGGCTGGGTCAGAGAAGAGCGCTCTTTGGGAAGCGAAAACAGTTGAGCGACTACGCGTTGGTCTGTGGGATGTTTGGCATTATCGTCATGGTGATCGAGACGGAGCTGTCGAGGGGATTTTACAACAAGGTACTGCAGCCCTCTTCAGACTCACTCCATTCATGAAGTATAACAGATGAACTATAAAGTGTACAGGGATGATTTTTTTATCACCCTGTACACTTTATAGTTCATCTGTTATACTTCACCCTTAAAATTACCCCATTAATGCCAACATAGCAGTGTGTCACTTGAACTGGCAACCTTTAGGGACCAATGATCAACTTTATTTTAAACAATGGGCATATGGCATCTACCTTATTTGTTTTGTCAGTGTATCTTCACAGCGGGCTGTATTCACCATGTTCATGTTTTTGTCTCCTTTTTATTCTTTTCTACAGGAATCCATATATTCATATGTACTGAAAGGCCTCATCAGCCTCTCTACTGCCATTCTTCTTGGACTCATTATGATGTACCATGCAAGGGAAATTCAGGTATGTGGAAGAATTAAGAGGCCCTGAGCATACCTATGGTCTTTGGTTCCCATGGTAAAACCTTATTATTATCCAGGAGAACCTAATACCAGTATTCTTAGTACTCTGACTGGAAACAGTCATGTCAACCATGTGGTTCAGCTGATATGTGGGATAGCCTGGGGAATGCATTGGATGATGTGTTGGCTCAGTTGGATAAAATGGCAAAATGTATTTTAAATAAAACAACAGGCAAACAAGTGACTTCACCACTTAATACTGAGCTAAAGACACGTTTGACTGTAATCAGTAAACATGTCAAGTGCATCAATGAAACATTTAAGTTAAAATCTAGTACAAACAAATAAATGTATCGTTTATATTACTTCGTTCTCAGGTCAGTTGTGTAATTTAGTCAGTATTGGACAAAGTATTTAAATCCTTAAAAGTACTGATACCACTGTAAAAGTAGGCTACTATGTTACAAGTAAAAGTTCTGTATTGAAAATGTTACTTAACTAAAAGTATGTAAGTATAATTGGGAAAATGTACTGAAAATTATTTTAATGATCAAAAAAACGAATCGTTTTGGCTGTACTTGTATAAAATCTTGAGTACTTTAATTTATAATAAAACATCATCTTTTATAAACTGTTTTGTTTGTAAAAACATAATTTGCAAAGTAACTACTAAAGCTGTTAGATAAATGTAGTGAAGCAAAAAGTATAATATTTCTCTTTGAGATGTAGTGGAGTAGAAGTAGAAAGTGAAATACAGGTACCTCCAATTTGTACTTAAGTACAGTACTTGAGTAAATGTACTTAGTTACTGTCCACCACTGCATTGAATATGCAAAATGCTTCACCCAAAAATCTTCTCTTCTTTTCTATAGCTCTTCATGGTGGACAACGGCGCAGACGACTGGAGGATAGCTATAACCTTTGAGCGGATTCTCTCTGTTGTGTTGGAGCTCCTCATCTGTGCCGTCCATCCAATTCCAGGCCAGTATGTGTTCACCTGGACTGCTCGGCTGGCCTTCAGCTACACAGAATCAGAGGCGGACGCGGATGTCGACATCATCTTCTCCGTGCCGATGTTCCTGCGCCTCTACCTAATTGGCCGGGTCATGCTGCTCCACAGCAAGCTGTTCACAGACGCTTCCTCCCGCAGCATCGGGGCGCTCAACAAGATCAGCTTTGACACTCGTTTTGTCATGAAGACTCTGATGACCATCTGTCCCGGCACAGTCCTGCTGGTCTTCAGTGTGTCCTGTTGGATCATCGCAGCATGGACCGTGCGTGTATGTGAGAGGTATGTGTTTAAAACTTTTTAACTCCTTGCTCTTCTTTTGCATTGCATCAGTTTTATAGCCTTGTGTATTTTCCATGTTATTCAAATGGTGGATATTATTTTGAGAAAACAAAATCAGTGATAGTCTACTTGTAAAACACTGGTCTCTCAGGGTTTAGGATTGACATCAGCTGCTGTTACAGCCAGGTGTCATGTCTCTACAGGTATCACGATGCACAGGAGGTGACCAGTACCTTCCTTGGAGCAATGTGGCTGATCTCCATCACCTTCCTCTCCATCGGCTATGGCGACATGGTCCCTCACACCTACTGTGGGAAGGGGGTGTGCCTGCTCACAGGAATCATGGTGAGATTTGTACATACAGTACGACCAGACATGTAGAGGAGTGTATTCCAAAACTCAGCATACCTATAGCTACATTACTTACATGTAGAAAGAATTTTGGCCTATAAGTTATAGTAGACCTGTATTTTGTAGTTTGTAAAAAGGATGAATCAAAGGAAAAATATTACACAAATATAACAAACTTTTAAAAAATGTAATACATGATAGAAGACAATATATTCTCACCTAACACCTCTCTATGATACATAATGATTGTAGTTTTTGGTGTCACTAACCACTACTTTTCTTCTCAGGGAGCGGGCTGTACAGCTTTAGTGGTCGCCGTTGTTGCAAGGAAGTCAGAACTCACCAGAGCCGAGAAGCACGTCCATAACTTCATGATGGATACTCAGCTCTACAAAAAGGTCTCTTTGCACTTGACATGCTGATTATACATTGTACATTGTTTTTAATACTAACAGTAAAAGTCACTTATAAACTGTAATAACATTTTTGCATTTTGACCATATTGAGTTTATGTTTTGTCTGATTTATGTCTGAAAGAGCTTTACAGAGGAACTGAAAAGGGAAGTGACATAAAACTAGATAAAGCATATGAGGAGTGAATTTCTTCAGTATTTCAACCTTAAATTAAAGATATATAAGCTGGAATGTCACATCAGGAAGAGACCTAGCCAAAATAACAAACAAACCAGCCAGTGCCACAGAAGAAATATAGTAAAAATATCTGAATATTTTATAAATATGTTTGTTTTCAAACTCTGCTACCATTTCAACATTCACAGCCTGCAGGTTATTTTCATGCCTTCAATGCCTAAAACCCCCACCACGCTGTGGCTTAATATCCGATTAGCACTACTGATGTTACTGTATTTGTAAACAGCACAATACTGTATTTGGTTATAGACCGTTATATACAGTACTCTGTATTTGAATCATACACAGTAAGGTGATTTCATTTGTACAATATTTTGAAAAGCGTTTGAAACAGCTGTATTGCATTTTGAAACCATCAATAAAATTCAGTAAATAGCAAAGCTGTCTGTTTCATTAATTTATATTCATGTAATAAATATACAAATGTCAATTAGATGCTAATCTGCATGAGAAATACAGAAAACGGAAATAAAATGCTAATTGTAATCATTCACTTATGGTGATCCTTTTGACACAGACAGACATGATCAGTATGAGAAGTTTGAATAAACTATCCAAAAAGAAAATTCCTAAACCTACCTCCCTATGAACACAAAAAAATAAGAAAAGGTATAATGTAACAAAAATGGCAGCTTTTCCCTACAGGGCTTACTGGAGTTAAAGGTAGTCAAGATACAAAAAACAGGGAACAGTAACTTGAAATTGATTAACTGAAATTCTAACAACAAAATCGTTACCTTTCTGACTGTAACCTGACAACAACATACGAAAGAGCTCACAATTCACAAGCACTCCGGGTTTAAGAAGGCAGCAAATGTGGAAGTTACAAGTGGAGCTCCTCAGCGTTTATATACCCCAATATGGCCCGTGATTGGCCCAAGGTAGGAGGAGGAACTAGAGCTGAGGCCCACAGAGCCAGAAACACAGCACATATTAACATATTTCATCAATTACACATTCACCTATAGGGGAATGTAGCAAAATGCAATTGGAAAGAAATCATTACATCTACTGCTTCATCCGCATGCTATTCTATCCTCCTCAGATAAAAAATACAGCAGCCAATGTGTTGAGGGAGACATGGCTCATCTACAAGAACACCAAGCTGGTGAAGAAGATTGACCATTCCAGAGTACGCCACCATCAGCGTAAATTCCTACAGGCCATCCACCAGTAGGTATACATATGTTGTCACCAGGGAGTGCAGACAAAGAGAAAAGTCATTCACATTCCATGATCACAGTTTCCGTAACGTGTAGATAGACAGGCACTGTTTGCTGGCATGTTTATTCATGTACTTGTAGGTTATGACTTCAGCTGTTATCAAGACAAGCTACTCAGCACAAATGTGACTTTGGTTCTGATTTTCAATTTTAGACTGCGAACAGTCAAAATGGAGCAAAGGAAACTGACTGATCAGGCCAATACAGTTGCTGACCTTGCCAAGGTTTGTTTCATGGAAATTTCAAAAATTTTCACTTTGCCACATTGTCTTTTAACCTCAGTCACATTATTAAACACAACCAAAAATATGTTTTTATTTTTGTTGTATTTTTAGATCAAATTCCCGTTACTTTTATTGACAGTAGGCAATATTGTAATTTATTGGCGTTTTACTTCATTTCATATATGGAATGGACTCACTGAGGGCCCACAGCTTTACTACTATAAATACACCATGTAATGAAGACTTCCACACAACTGGGGTTAAAAAATGTTGCGTCTGTTATTTTTCTACTATACCTATATGGATGTATGAACTGACCTCTCTGTTGCTTTCCAGACTCAGAACATGATGTATGATCTGGTGTTGGACCTGCAGCATCGTAGCGAGGGGCTGGACAGGAGGGTTGGAGCTCTGGAAGAGAAACTGGACTCCATCCTTCTCAGTGTGCAGTCGCTGCCTGTTGTGCTTTCTCAAGCAATAACAAAGCTACAAAAGGATTTCCTTGATGACTTGGCCTGTCGTGTCCACTTCCTGTCATCCTCCCTAAGCTCTGAGTGCTGTTCAGTCCCTGCCAGGCAGCTCTGTCCAGGATCCACCACACCAGAGACACCATACAGCTCGTAGGCCACGCTCAGTGGTTTTCCTCTTAGTCTGCAACCTTTTCTCATGCTGGGTAGGATTTTGTCAACATGCACACTCGTAGCGCCCTGCTACACATTCATATAGTCACCCCTGGGAGTTACAGCTACTGTCTCATACTGAGCAGCTCCAATGAGAAGGGAAGTGCCTCAGTCAGGGGATTTTAGAGGAAGGGGAGAGCATTACTCCTTAATTTCCTTTGCTCAGAGTTTTACAGTTAGTCCAGGGACTGGATTTTCCCCTTATAATTAGACAAAACGACCCTCCTTTGATCTCACCCCAGAGATTCATACAGAAAGATGACTTGTAAGCTATGGCTTCAGGTAGAATTGCAATGTAACTGTCATTGTCAATAAAATCTTTGATTAAAACAGCTTACCTAATATAGTCTAATCCAGTTCATTCACAACCAATTAAATAAGTGTGGAAATAAATTCAGGACTCCTATGAGCTCACAGACCTCGTCCATCCTTGTTTTAGCTCACCAATCATCTTGCAATATTTCATTTTGAAAATCTTAACATTGTGGAATTGGAAAAGATTTTTGACATATTATGGATAGCAGCTTTGATAGGTAATAAATATGGTCGTCTCAGAAGTGGGCTTGTCACTGTTTGGTTCCTATACTGAGCTGGCTGTGAACATTATGTGAGAGGCTATACTTCCCCTTTATGGCTGAAGTTGTGTAGGGTGGCTCCCATGAATGAATATGTGAAACATGAGAGAAGACACTAAACTTCTAAATTCATGTATTATTGTAATGTTCTGTTAACTGGAAGACATCTGCTGCAGTTTATCAAGGATGCTGCAGACTGACTAGAACAAAAATAAAGATAGTTACGGTAAATTTAAATTTTTAAAGAATGAAATCAGTTCCCACACAGCCAAGAGTGTTTCCTGCTCCATTAGGACAGTGTTTTCTGTATTTTGTAGTAAATTATGTCCTCCATTAGGGAACAATGATTAGGAACAGAGAAGAGACTGAGATGGTGTTTGTGATTACTTTCAAAGCAATAATGGCTAAGATGTCAGAGTTGTTAATTTTCTCATTAAATGTAGTCTCAGATGGTGTGGACAAAATGGTTGTGATTGCGCCAAATGCCACATTAATGCCTAAAGGGGAAGAAATGTTGCAGTCAGGGCACCTTGCCCCAGGGTATAGCATTCATTTAACACTTTAACACATTTGTTTTTATGTGTGGTTGTTTTGTGCTCATTTGAGCCCTAATTTCCAGATGGTGATTTGCAGCTGCTTGAAGTTTTTCCTGTGTAGGCCTGGTCAGTATTTTTTAAGAAACTGAAACTTTCCTTTGTGTTTCAATGGCCTCATCCTACATAACATCAATATTTTAGTCTGTATGTGAAGGAGTTGGGTTTTAGACATTTTCAACTCTCACAGGTGATGTAGCCTATACTTTTCAATATTTACATTTATTTTTATTTTTGTAGCAACCACACCGTGTTTTATTTTCGACTTCTTTAATACAATCTCTGGTAATAAATATGTATTCCTGAACTTTTCTCAACAATTCTGTGTTGTAGCTATTCATTCAATCAAAAATACACATTTTGCTTTGGCAGGACTTCTAATTAAAGTGATACTTCTCTTAGGAAATAGCCTTACACAAATGAAAGGCAAATTGCATTACAGATAGATCCAGGTATTAGGAATTTAATTTGTGTTTGCCAGCCAAAAAAATGCTGTGTTCAGCAAATAGAAAGCTGAACTCAGAAAATCAGTAAGACAATCCTGGCCCAACAGAGGAAATTTACATATGGTTTAATTATTATTTTTATGAAATGTTGCTTTTACTTGATGGTTAATAATAGAGAGTGACGGGAAACTCTGAAAGACAGACTTGAGATGGGGATGCCATGGTAGGGCCAAGCTTACCGGTAGTCACTTTACAACTAGAACTAGAGAAATAACAAAGGTAAGTGACAGAGGCACTGTAACCAAACACATTATAAACACACTTTCTCCAGTGTACCCAAATACAGACCACACGCCTACTTCTTATTTTCAGTGCTCTAGTTTGAAATGACTGAGTTGGCCTCATTCACTTTCAGCTCCCGCCAAACTGAAGGGGAGGTAATTGCACACCATTAATTAAACATAATTATTAAGTCAACTTCTCCACGTAAAGGTTTAACATATTTGGATGATTAGAAACTCATTGTGAAACCGAATAATTACGCATTCACCCTTCAGACATGATAAACAGCACCACCAGTGAGGTTGTTTACCAGAACGACCATCTGTCTCTGAGTTACCGGTGGGCGCTGGAGAATCTCGCGATAAAGATCCGGAGGCCAACTGCACCCACGAGAATGTCGTTTCGCGCGCTGAGGCTAAGCTCCAGTCACATTCTAGATTGACAGCCCTGCTAACCAATGAACGCGATTTACTTAGAGAAAATTAGCCAATGGGGAAGCTGAATTAATAGAGCAGGCGGGATGGGAAAGTCTTGAAGAATAACTCATTGATCTATCTCCAACTAGGTATAGAGTTGGTCGTGTAAACCTTACATAGAAGTTATTTGGAGAAAACGTGCGTGTTACTCCTTCAAACGTCAATTTCTTGTTTTCACTTGGACGAAGAAACAGGTAAAGCAGTGTTTTTCTTATGTTTTAATAACTTTTAAAATTATACTCATTGATTTCTTCACTCAGTAGCTAGCTTACTGTTAACGTTAGCTAAGTCAGGTCCTACCTCGTTTCTGTTTGACTTAACATGACCTTAACTTACTACACCAAGTTCCCTAGCTAGCCAATTGTAAAATTCAAATTGAATGAATTGTATTAGAAACCGGGACAGTTTTCGTGCTGTTGAGTGTACTCTGATTTCTTATTGCTAACATAAAAGGTCTCTAACAATAAGTTGTAACGTGGTTTTCTGTACCTTAACTGTTAGGCGTTGATGGGAACTTGACTAACGTTAACGTTACAGCAAGCTGATATCTTGTGTTGTTTATCTGTAGTATAGCTATACATAATGTGAGGCACATGGTGAAATTTCAACTGCCTTTGCCACTTCACTGTTTCCTGTGAAGCAAAACAAATACGCTAACCTTAAACAGGTTGCTTATTTCCTTGTTTTCCGTATTGGCTTGTGATGAATTGGCTCATGATTTCGGCATTTTGTAAAAAGAAAAATGAATGGTGCCGGTGAAATAACGCATCTAATCCGGGAGGAAGTAGTTTGTTTTTGATGTTACTACTTATGTTTTGTTCACTGGTGTTTATTTCGAGGCAGCGGGGCGAACAAGACCTCAGCTGAGAGCGCAAAAGTAAAAGCTTAGCAGCCGTCGAGCTCGCCCTTTACTACTTAGACAGTGATTTGTTCTTACTATGTGGGCAAATTACCGATTTAGTATTCCAATAACCGATTCCAAACTAAATATAATGTAGTATTTCGGCGTGTTTTATTGTCAGAGAGCGAGGCACATTGTTTGCTAGCGCTCCCTCCCGTCCGGATGTGTGCTTGGTTTTAAAAGAACTGGGAGTGGCCTGCAGCTCAGTTTCCCGCACTGTATTTAAATCAGCTTGTTCCCTCCCTTTCTGATACTCTGTTGAATTGACAGCCCAGTACTGACAGCAGCACAATACACGGAACAAGGACTGGCATGGTCATATTTCTGCTACTGAGAAACTAAAATCAGTTAATTCCTTAGACCATGAAGTACACCAGCATAACATTAAATGGTGGAATTTGGACTTTGACCTTTTGTCCACACAGTGCTTTTTCTGTTAAAACGTTGGCTTTGTGTGGATTGAATGCTAAAAGGAGGAGGAAATGTCATTTTAAATTTAGTCAGCTCATTGTGATCATGGCCTTAATACTCACACTTGCAGGTTCAGAATCTGTGTTTTTTTTTTTTGTTTTTTTTTGTTTTTTTTTGTTTTTTACTCAGACACAAGTTAAGTAAAATTTGTCTTTGAAAGTGCCACCATACACAAGTATAAGTAAAAGCAGCAGTGCATAATGAGTTAATTAAAATGGTAATCTCAAAATTCCTAATTTAAAACTTAGAAATAGCAGTTGGCTACCTGGCAAATTTCACTTGATGATATATTGTATGCAAATACATCTCATGAATTTTGTTAATATCGGAAATTAGAAATGAGACAGGTTTTATTACACATAAAAAGAAAAGAGTGAGACTACTGTGCTGCTTCAAGCAGAAAATGCCAAAAACAGAAAATTTGGATTGATGCACAGACTAAACCATAAAGTCTTCTCAGACAAGGCCATAGTGTTGTGCTATATGCCATTTTGATCTATACATGTATCATGTATTACTTTTATTTAAAACATTTATTAGCTTTTTGCAGTTGATTCTGTTGGACTTGATGCAAATGAGTAGTAAATAAATAGCAGACTATTGCTGCTCAGGCTGTTGATAGAGTAAACAAAAGCTTCTGATCACTGTCTGCTGGAGTAGAAGATGTAATATGATCAAATGGTCCATTAAACAACACTAATTGCTGCGCTTACTTGCAGTATCTTGTAAAATAATTGCAATGTTTGTTGTGGGTATAATGGGTTATGGTGTGGCTGTTCACACAGGGCAGCTGCAATGTGGATTCAAGTGCGCACAATGGATGGGAAGGAAACCCACCGGGTGGATTCCCTCTCCAAACTTACTAAGGTGGATGAGCTGCGTCTCAAAATCACAGAGCTCTTTAAGGTGGAGCCAGAGAGACAAAGGCTGTTTTACCGTGGCAAGCAGGTAAGGCAGAATTTTTGTTCAGAGACGTGTCGGAAAGCTTCTCAAAGTATTAGCATTTACAAAAGGCAGCCGCATTAATGTGGTTAATAGAAGTAATTTTGTTAGGTTCTAGACCTGTTTTTCCATTTCAGGTAAGATTTTCTGTATGTGAAGAATTTAACTCTTACAAAACATAAAATAGAAAACATGCATTAAATTAAAGGTGTGTGTTGTTTAGAAATTTTCCCTTATGTGTAAAGTGTGTGGATAGACACAAACAAGAACAATGAAGGACCACTGAAACAAAAGCGTAAGTGCTGCTTTTGTCCTATTTAACAATGTCATATTTTTGCTTTATATCAGATGGAGGACGGCCATACCATATTTGACTACAACGTGGGCCTAAACGACATAGTGCAGCTCCTTGTCAGGCAGAAGATGGCCCCCGCGGATGTCGTCAAAAGCAAGGACAAAGAAGCTGAGCTCTCGGACTCTGATTCTGGTTGTGGCTCAACCCAGAGTGAGTCTGACAAAAGCTCAACTCACGGCGAGGTGGAGGGGCAGACTGCTGGGACGTCTGCCCAGACAAACACCCTGGAGCTCGCCGATCCAGGGTTCGGGTTTTACAAGGTGTGTATTAAAACTGATAATTGGAGTTAAGTGTCTTTGTTTGGTGCTTTCAGGTTACTTTTACTTTTTCGGGAAGAGGGAAATTAAATATCTGGATAGGTGGTATTTGGTTACCAAAAAAGTGGGGATTTAGTGGTATTAGTAATGAATAAAGTAAGGTAGTAATGTGTTGTGCACGTCTCAGTTCTTCACCAAACGTCTTGTAGAAAATATGTTTACCGCATTTTTTGAAATTTGGTAAATGTAAAGATGAAGGCCTGAATAGACTTGTGATATTCATATAAGCCATTTTGCAATAAACAAACTGAGAAATCTGAGAAGTTTTTTGGAACATTTAAAGAACACTTAATGAAATTTGTTAGGTGTACCAAACTGCACTGGAAAAAAATGATTCTATAGATCCAGCTAACTTTTTCTTGTGTGTTTTGAAGATCAATGAGCTGGTGGATGCAAGGGACTTGAACATGGGGGCGTGGTTTGAGGCCCAGATTGTGACTGTTACTAAGACAACAAAGACACCTAAAGAGGAGGCTGCTGAGGCACAGCAGGAGGAGATACTGTACCATGTTAAATATGAAGAGTAAGAATCTTTTTCTATTAATTGTCGTCAAGATTTTGACCATCAATCAATATTTAGGTTATGAGTCCTGTCTTCCAAAGCTGTCATTATGTTTTTGTGAAAATTAAACTATGTTGAGCCCAGCTAACATCACTGTGTCAATACGTTTGCAAACTACTGGTGTATTAATGTAAAAGAGCAGGCTTTTTAACAAATAGTCAACCACCTGCATTATAGAGCTTGCCGGTGGTTGTATGTCGGGAATTATAGTTGCATAAGGAGAAATTGGTTTTCAGCAGAGAAAATGTTAAAGAATAAAAGGAAATCATGAACATCAGAATTGATGACACAAGCAGTAAAATTAATTTATAAGTTGTTGTAGGATTATGCTGACTTGCTGTAAGATACAGGAAGGAGATTGAGTTCTAACATTTGTTTCCTTAAGAACCGACTGCGACTCTGTTAACAAAACAAAACCCCTTCCTTTCTGGCACAGTTGGCATATTTGTATGATGTAAGTGATAATTTTAGGTTTAGTAAGTGACCCTCATGGTCAGTCAACACTGCAGTGATGGAATGTCAATGTAGTTAATATGCAGCGTTAAAGTTCTAAATTGATCAGAATAGCCAGGATACTTTACACAGCACTAATTTAGACCATCAAACTATCACCAGTTAGGCAGCATAAGTTGACTGTTTTCATTGGCTGAATTGAAATAAGATGCTTTTAATCCATCTATGTAATCTAATGTAAAATGATCACTTCCTCCTGCAGGTTCACACAAAAAGCTTATGACCGGTCCTTGTGGAATTGCACAAGTTGAAAAGATGGATAGCTATTTCTCTGTTTATCTCCGTAGCAGTTTAAGCATTGGGTTTTCTGTGGTGTCTCTGACTTTGCCTTCCTTGAAGTTTGCTCTTGTCTTGCTGAGCTTGCAAGTGCATTAGTGTTGGAGCAGTCATCTGAGTGGCATAGTTGTTCAAACCTAGTGATCCAGATCTTCATCATTCAAATATACTTGCATACGTTCGGCAGCACTGTGTAGGAAGAGCCTGTGGTGATGTGTGGCTTATCCCTCAACTGCAAACTGATATGGTATCACATTTACCATTACAGCTACCCAGAGAATGGGGTGATTCAGTTGTTGGCAAAGGATGTTCGTCCGCGGGCCCGTACAGTGTACCAGTGGCACCAGCTGGAGCCAGGAATGATTGTTATGGTCAACTACAACCCCGACGACCCCAAGGAGCGTGGCTACTGGTACGATGCAGAGATCCAGAGAAAGAGGGAGACGCGCACTGTGCGAGAGATCTACGCAAAGATCATCCTAGGGTAAAGGCTTTGTTGCATATTATGGTTTAGTTACTGCATTTTGTAGTGGCACACAGAGTAGGGGTAACTGCCATAAGTCATCTATGTGTAAATATCTGCTCAACCAGCTGCAGTGGCAGGTGAGCATCATCTCGTGGTCCTATTGTTATCTATATATAAAAGTTTGTTGGATTTTTAGATACCACAATAGCAGGTGCCAGAAGTAAATTTCCTGTTGTGGTATTAAGGTACACTGTAGAATATGGTACTATGTACTGGTAGAAAAATTCCGTTGCTAACCACCAGTGTTTGTGGATTTGGATCTCATTTATACTATGCCTAGAGGAAAAGGAGGTGCTGCTGCGTTTCTGTCTATGCAGTTTTACATTATCCCTGCTAAGTGTGTTTTTCTGTTATCAACTTTTCACACAAGTATAAGCATTGAGTGTACCAGTATATTGCTTTTGTTTGCAGTGATGCTGGTGACTCTCTTAATGACTGCCGGATCATGTTCCTGACCGAAATCTACAAAATCGAGCAGCCTGGTTCTCTGGGTGACGCCCCAGCTGGATCTGAGAGTCCACTAAAAAGTAGGTTTAAGGATGAAATATTTAAATTGTATAGCTGTGTGTTAGAATTATTCATAATGTAGCTATTATCTTGTGAATCATCAGGAATTTGATTGTGAATCTTGACTGTGTGAACAGTTGATGTTAGTTGATACACATGTCTTACCCCATCTACTGGAAATGCTGTATAATGAAATAGAATATATAATATAATGAAATCTGTCTTCTCCAGGATCAAATGGACCCGAGTGCAAGCACTGTAAAGATGATCCCAAAAAAAACTGTCAGTGGTGTAACTGCCATGTATGTGGCATCAAGCAGGATCCTGACAAACAGTTGCTGTGTGATGAATGCGACATGGCCTTTCACACTTACTGCCTGAACCCTCCGCTCACCTCTATCCCAGAAGATGAGGACTGGTCAGTAGAATCAGATGCAGACCCACACAATTTATTAAATACATCCTTCATTACACTGACATTTGTTTGAATATAAAGTTAGGAAATTACCAGCCATATGTTGGTGTATATAAAGAGTGACCTTTTAATTGTTATGGCAGTTGTGACCTGGTTTTTTTTTTTTCTTTTCAGTGTTCTCAGTATAGGCCTGAATGATGCCGTTTCTCTTTATTAAGCCAAGAATGTCTTTTAAAGTGCCTGAAAGGTTTGATTTGTAGCTCTGTTTTGTGCTCAGTTAAGGCATGAAGTGTCAGCTGTTTGTCAAAACACTGAACATAAGCCTGTTTTGTTACACACCAGCCCACAGGCCAAACACAAAGATTCCAGGCCGTCCTTGTGATCCTCTTGCGTTAATGTTATGTTTGACTTGACTTTTACTCTACATGTCATTCTGTCTCAGGTATTGCCCAGGTTGCCGTAATGACGCCAGTGAGGTTGTGTTGGCCGGAGAGAAGCTAAAGGAGAGCAAGAAGAAATCTAAGATGGCTTCAGCCAGCTCCTCCAGCCAGAGGGACTGGGGCAAGGTGAGTGCTGACACAGTGCTGCCAGACAGTGAATCTTTTTGAGAGGTGCAAAAGATATATTCTGATCTTTAGATATTTTAAAATTATGATTTGGATAAGTCACTAGGCATGGGGCCCAGTTACCCCACATAACTATTGCAATTTAAAAATATAAACGTTAATCGTTAAATTTTAGCAATGATAAGAATCAAAACCATATTGTCTGCCAAGGTGATTTTTGGAAAAGATGGATACAAATCAGCACAGGTTAAAGTACGTATGTACTCAGTTGTAGACAGCTAGCTACGTTACTATACTTGGTATTGAACACCAAATAAAAATAATTTACTCCTCCCCTCCAGGGTATGGCCTGTGTTGGTCGAACCAAGCAGTGCACCATCGTCCCGTCCAACCACTACGGTCCAATTCCAGGCATCCCCGTCGGCTCCCTGTGGAAGTTCCGAGTGCAGGTCAGTCTATGCAATGGAGAGTTGAATTAATACTCATAGTGGGGACTGCAAACCCATAAACAATACAAAGGTTTTGTGGTCATTTGTTTCAGTGAGTAGCATTAATGTTCCAATTCTTTGGCCTTTCTAGGTCAGTGAATCTGGAGTCCACAGGCCACATGTAGCTGGTATTCACGGCAGGAGCAATGACGGTGCCTACTCTCTGGTTCTGGCAGGAGGCTATGAGGATGATGTGGTATGCAGTATCTTTTTTTTTTTTTTTTATTTATTTTTTTTCTTAAATAGTAGTAGAATGAGGTGGTGATGACTATTAATGAGGTTTAAATAAGGTAAGTTTATTTATATAGCCAAGTATCACAAACCTCAAATGTGCCTCAAGGGCTTTACAATCTGTACAGCGTTGGACACCCTCTATCCTTAGACCCTATACGGGAAAAACTACTTCCAAAAAACCCTTTCACAGGGGGGCGGCGGGGAGGAAAGAAACTTCCGGAAGAGCAACAGAAGTAAAAAACTGTTAATGTTACTAGAAAGTAATTCATTATGATATGAAATCCATCTTTCTATTAACATAATCAAGAGTTTAAAACTACAGAGAAGGGTGTGTTCAGCGGATTGCTAATGTGTGTAATATTTTGTCTTAAATTGTAGGATGATGGTAATGAGTTCACTTACACTGGCTCTGGAGGGCGAGATCTTTCTGGAAACAAGAGGACTGCTGAGCAATCATGTGATCAGACACTTACCCACATGAACCGGTAGGATGCTAAAGGACATAACATGCTATAACTACCTTGTAATCAACAGGATTTCAGAAATGTTATTTTGGATAATTACCTTGTTTGCTCATTTGTTCTCACTAGGGCTCTGGCTCTCAACTGCAACATCCCTGTCAACGACAAAAACGGAGCTGAGGCCAAGAACTGGAAGGAAGGCAAACCAGTTAGAGTTGTGCGCAGCTGCAAGGGTCGTAAGCACAGTAAATTCAGCCCTGAGGAAGGAAACAGATATGATGGCATATATAAGGTATGAGCGAAAACACTGTATAAACTAGCCGATTCACAAAGCAGTTATGCCAACTGTTGATCACGGGGTGTGACAAGTTACTCATTAAGTTGATATACTCAACTGCAAATATTTGCTAAAATGAATAAATAGAATCTGTTGGTTAGCCATCATCATACCTGAATTACCAGTAAGAGACCACAACTACCTCTAGTAGTAATGAGTAGTTTGATTATAGATCTTGTAACTTTGAACCTGTATTTGTAGTTATACTTTGTTACATTGACATCCCTCAGGTGGTGAAGTACTGGCCAGCCAAGGGCAAGTCAGGCTTCTTGGTTTGGCGGTATCTGCTGAAGCGTGATGATGATGAGCCAGCCCCATGGACCAGAGATGGCAAAGACCGCATCAAGAAGCTCGGTCTTACCATGCAGGTAGAGATGATCATTCAGACTACATTATGCCATGAGGTGTTTTGTACCAAAACTAACTTTTAATGAAATATATTAGCATGAAGTGTGTGTGTGTGTGTGTGTGTGTGTGTGTGTGGGGGGGGGGGTTATTGATGTTTTTTTGTTTTTTTTTTCAAATGCACTAATGTTGGACTTCAAATCACATTTAGCATGTTGCAGTTAGAATATTCTAACATTTGAATTAAGTTTCAAGATCCATGTCAACCTTAAAGACATGTTAAGCATGCAAACGCTAACTGTGCTTTGAATGCTAAAAGCAGCATAACGTCTGGTTAAATGAATTCAATCTTGTTCCAGTACCCTGCTGGTTATCAGAAAGAAAAAGAGAACAAAAATGAAGTGGAGGAAGAGGTGTCGACACCCAGCAAGGCAAAGAGGAAGAGAAAATCTCAGGGCAGTGGTAAGTTCTGTGTGTGGCGGGAACATGTGGTATTGCCAGCGGCAAATATATTTTTCAAAATGTCTGTCTAGGTTTCTACACAATCAGCCCCCTTTTTATATACTCCTTAATGAATTTAACATTCCTTTTTGTCAGATTCTTCCAAGACCTCACCAACCAAGAGTCCTAAGAAAATAAAGGTAGAAGTGTACAAGCTTACCAAGGAGCAGAAATCCCTCATCAAGAATGACAAGCCAAACCAGAAGCTGTGGGATGAAGCCATGGAGTCACTATCACTTGGGCCGGTGAGAATGATTTAAATGCTTAAGCTGATGTTTGGGGGAATGGGGGGGGGGGTTCTGCCACTGAAATTAATCAGCTGTAAATGGCTGGAAAAGCACTTTTCTTTTCACAATTGCACTGAAATATTGGCAGTGACGAAGCATTTTAAAGTGTCAGAGAAAATGCAAAAATCACTGTTTGCAGACTGTTCTGCTGAACTGTCTCTTAGCACATCCACACCATCAGTGGCTGACTTCAACAAGAAGTCTGACCCGCTTTTGAATGTTTCCATCATTTGTTTCTGAGAAGGCGACTAGCCACACTTAAATTTGGAGTGCACACATATTCAAGCCATTACAGTAACTGAAACAGACCAGTGTGAGCTGAGGGCAGATAAAACAGATAAGCCTACGTGCAATGGGGGGGGGGGGTATTTGAGCAGTGTCTCAGTAACATTGAGAGAAATGTCGGTGTTCTGGTTGCTCTATGACAGACGTCTGCAGCAGCTGAAGCAGTCAGACCAGAAGAAAACTGGGATAAGATAAGGAAGGTTTGGCTTTGGCTCACTGGTCAACTTTTATGTTGGCCGTATCGGTGCCTTTTGTTGTTCAACATGTTAAACTTTTCAGAGTCGACGTGCTTGCCATCACTTTTCGTCAACCGACCAATAACAGCCTGGATGGGGCGGGACATTTAAAAAAGTTTGACATGCTACAGCAAATCATTAAATGTTGAACAATATGATTATTGACAAGTTGCCACTGAGCATTAACAAATTAGAGACTAATGTAGAGCATTTTGCTTGCACATGGATTAAAAAAACAATGCACAGAAATGAAACAGCTGTAACTGGATTTAATATGACTAGTGGTAAAATAGTATACTATTATATGAAATTATAATGAATGTTTTATAGTATACTATCAACTAAACATTATGCTCATACACATTTCAAAATGTCAGTATTCCTTATAGACTCAGAGTACCATTTGTTCCATTATAATCAAATCGCAATATGACTTTCTCCAAATCATGCAGCCCTACCTGTCATTTTCTCTTTACAAAGACGTGTTGCAGTATGAGAGTCGTACCTGAAGAGGCCATGAAATCTTCATGTTACACGATATGAGAACCACATAGAACATTTTTAATCAAATTGGGTTGGACTTGATGAATTTATTGTGAGGGTACATGTGACAATATCCGGTTTTCAAAATAAGGGTGGGGGGGTTATTCAAGTGTAAAATACATATTACTTGTGTCCATTAAAAGTAAATGGTTTATTGTGAGCTTGTGCAAAATTGTTCTCGTAATCAACTTGTTTAATAAGGGAGGGGGGGGGGGGAATCCAGTTATTAGGAATCAATCTTACAACCTTCTTAACAGAGTCCCAAACAGTACAGACTGAGCTAAACCTACACACGAGTATACAAGGAGTTAAAATAATTTGACTTTATTCTGGCCCGCCATGTAATGGCTTGAGGAAAAATTTGGCCCGATGCCAGACTTATTTGCTGACCCCTGCTCTATGCCGTTCTTCGTCTGACTTCCTGCCTGGTTAATCTGTTCTGTACTGCTTAAAATGGCAGCCCTACACCGAACGGCAAAGAGAATCCGGTCGACTTTAAAAATAAAATACCCTGTGCAGACTCCTGATCGTATATCAACAATAAACACAGACAAAAGAAACAATTAAACTGTGTAGTGACTTAACCATACTAAAGCACAAAAATCAAGAACAGCTGAACAAATCAACAAAATCTGAACAAGTCAGCAAAATCAGGCAGGCAAAACGCTCTTATTCTGAAATGCTCCATGTGGGAAATCTGTAGTTGAAGCGCAAAAAAACACGTCAACAACGTAGGACAGGCTAAACACTCTGCTGCTGAAACACTTAACTGTGAGTTGATGTTGGACAAAACCGTAGCACAACCGTTTCCTGTCTATTCGACGATGGCATTGTCCCATGTCTGGTTTTGTTTGCTGTTGTAAATTGTACACACCCTGCGCCCGCTCTGATTGGTAAGTAGGACCATAACAGGAGAAGCATGGCGCTTGTGATTGGTGAGCAGGTCTGTCACACAAGGACGACAATGGAATGAATTTGTAACTGCATGAGTGTTTTAAAACGGGTCAGATGAGCTGTATAATTGTGATCGCCTTCTTTTAAATCGCAATTTGGATTTGAAAATGATTAATGAGCCCTAATGAAGCGGTGAGAGAATAGGAGCCGCGGAATACGTTTTTACAAGCAAACACTTATTACATCACATTGCTGTGATTTTCAAGTGAACTAGCATCGCATGGTCTTGGCAACAAACTAAAGTAGAAATTGCAACAGTGCTCTTGCGCTGTTCTATTGACATTTCTGTGCTTACAGTGGATGTATTGCATAACTAAAAGTAGCTAGTATGAAAGTTTCGTTTGACAGTTGGATGGAGCTTTGTCAGTGCTGGATTTTGCTGCTACTTCAGATGTGTATTTTGATTCAGAGCAACAGTTTAATTTTTGCAATTGATAAACATGTTGTCTTTTTGTTTTTTTCTTCTGCAGAAATTCTTGAACAAAGTTGAGGAAGTTTTCCTCTGTATTTGCTGCCAAGAAGTGGTCTATCAGCCCATCACCACAGAGTGCCAACACAATGTCTGTAGGGTAAGAAACTTCATTGTCCTAGATTTTGAGATCCTGACGGACTCTGTAAACTATGAAAAGTTTTTTTTAATTTGGTAGTTACAACTTAGTAGCAGGTGCAAAGAGTGATAAACAAGAATCCATGGTTAGAATACTGTTGCAATACACTGCACTTGAATAGGTAAGCTTTCACATTTACTTGGATACATTTACTTTTGAATATGAAGTTGACATATGCAGTTACTCAATCATACCTCTTCAAACACAGTAGTAGAGGGATGTATGACTAAAGAGATGCCTTGTGTCGTAGTAATGTGCTTAGAATGTTCTTAAACAGCATGGCAGCTGTAGTAGCGTTTGGTCCATCAGCATACCTTACACCTGCCTCCAACAAAACAATGGAACTGTCAAATGGCATTCTGGCGAATGCAGGAAACCACTAGCTAGAGAAAAATGGTTGATTGATCTGTTGAACAGTGAATTTTTATATGGAAAACCAAGTGGACCCTTGAAAGCTGTCTTTTGTGTTTTTTTTGTTGTTGTGTTTTTTTTTTTGGACTCCAGGAATGCCTTCAGCGGTCCTTCAAAGCGGACGTGTACACCTGCCCGGCCTGCAGGCACGACCTGGGCAAAAACTACTCCATGACAGTCAACAAATCCCTGCAAGACATTCTAAATCAGTTTTTCCCGGGGTACAGCAATGGGCGATGATCATTGGTTCTGCCTACTGAACCCATGAGGAAATGCCATGTAAACTGTAAGGGGAATTTTCAGTAGAGGCAATAAAGAATCACTTTCTCTTAATATATTTTTTATGATTTATAAAACTGCAATTTTTGTGGACTTCAATGCTACAATTTTTCACCCTGATCTGCCATGATGTGTAGTTAATGATAAATTGAAAATTCCTTTGTAACTGTACCATTTTGCCGTTAATATCTTCAGCTGTGATTTTACACTCAGCGTTTCGTTTGTTCCATTAACTAATGCTAATGTTATCCACAATGTAAAATGTTTAACTTTGAACTAAATCCCTCCATCTTTAGCACTCTTTAAGAGAACGTTAAGTCAAAAGTGTTTTAGCCTTTATGCCCAAGTGTTTGTGTTTTTTTTTTTTTTTTTTTTTTTTTTTACAAGACTATGAGAATCTCAATCTTTTCTGGTCTGCCGTTAGTTTGGCTGTGTTTGGTCTTCATTTTGGTGCAATTTTTAAAAAGGATCTGATCATGCAGTCGGGATATTAATTGGTCTATATTCACATCTCACCTGGAATGCTCTTATGCGTCTCCTGTAGCTCTGTTTTTCACTGTACTGTATTGTTTTTAATCTCCCACTCCCATGTTTGTCTTAGTGTTGACGAATACAATGCAGCTTGACTTCCTATTCTGAAATTTATTGACAAACTAGACAAAACAGGCTATCAGTATATTGTCTTGACAGACTTACAAATGTGACACGTCCTGTTTGTCCTGGCATGATCAGATTATTAAAATTGCACTTACATGACAAATGAACAAAGGGGGGGGGGGGGGGAGTGTCTTGTTGGGGAGCGATGTCATCAAATGTGGCTGGATTTAACTTGTGTATTTGGTTCCTTTTTTTTAAAAAACAATTTTCACAGTAATTTTATATTTGTAAACGAAGTTTGTAAAGGTTGGTTTAAAAAGTTAATATGAATTTGAGAAAACCTTGAAAGCAAAAGGAGAGAGATTCTTATATTCTGTTCTGTTATATTCTGCAGTGTAGATTTGGATTCCTCCTGTTTTGAAAAGGTCCAAAGAAATGCAAGTGCTTAACCAAGAGTGTAATGTAGAACTCATCTATTTAGCCCTTTAGACATTGTCCCTGGCACAAAAACCTAATTGAGTCTAGAAAATTTATTTGTATTTTTTGCTAAAATCTTAATTTTTTAAAAATCTATTACTGCCATCTATGGTGAGGCTGTTCAGTCAGATTTGTGTCTCCTGTGGTCAATTGTAATTACCTGACCTCCATTTTAAAAACAGAAAATGCTTGCATCAAGTTGAAACATTAAGGAATTTCCACACACTGCTCCTGAAATCAAATATTGAATCAATTAAGTTATCTGAATTTTGTTATTTACTACTTTTGCCGTTACTCACTTTTGACATGACTATTTGGTGTTGAATTTCAACAGCAGTGTGTGTGACAATATCCACCCACATGCCAGCACTTTTGAGTTTTGATGGAGAAACAAAGATTTGCATAGACTGGGAGATGTATATTTTCTGAAATTGTATAATTTTTTTTTTAGTCAATTTTAGTTTTGATATGTAGTTTTAGAATTTCTTGCACACGTTTGGTGCAAAAATGTGTCAATACAGTTTCCGTGTTGTTCAATAAAAGTCAAAATGTGGAATTTTGTTGTGTTTTTTGTTTTTGGGTGACTTTGTATTGTGTCTTGAAAGTTTTAGCCATGACCTTGAATTAAGTAATTAACTGGTTATACCTTTTCTGACAAGGAAAAAAGACCAATTATCCAATGATAGATTTCAAATTCAGAATTTGGTTTTAAAGTACTTACACTGACTCTTGAGGTAGAACCTCACTGAGAAATCAAGAAACAGGATCATGTCATGTATTTTAACATGATGACCTGGGTTTTATTTATAACTTGAACTCACACGGGGATCCTGAGAAAATTAGTTAAAATGTGTTTACTTGTAGTAATAGTATATACATTTTTGAAATGGCCAACGGAGCACAGACTCCTTTAGCGAGACCAGTAGCGTCTACGTGCGTTGCATGCACGTCGGGTAAGTAGGAACACTGGGGACGAGTGGAAGTGAACGCATATTTCCATTGGTTTATTAGTGTGTCTATAACCGAGTAAACCAGCCACATCGTTGGGTTTGTGAGCAAGAATGAAATCATCCAGATTATTCAACCAATCGCGAGACGGGAGTTTTGATGTGGGCGTGACTCCGAGTAGCTTCGGCTAGCTAATGCTAGAGGAGAATCGATCCTGGGAATTATACCAAACGAAACCAAATCGATTAAAGAAAACAGGGAGAGGACAATACTTTGCAGCAGGAGGTAATATTTCTCAAACGGGAATCGTTTTTCTCAATCGCGAAGACCGTATTCTCGTGTAATTGTGATGTGTAGTGTGTCTGTCGTCGCGGTGTTTTTATTTTTTCTAAATGCAGATATGGAAGTAGCTAGCTAGAAGCTAGCCAGCGTTAGCTATGAATGCATAAACGTTAAGGCACGGTGAAGTGTAGTTCTGTTTAAATATAACTAGTGGTTTTGCGTATATGTACACCTGCCAGATCCCATTGAAGGCTAAAGTGAATTCTACAATTTACTCATCTTGAGGCGCTTCAGCTGCAGTTTTTTGTTCGCTGTCATTTGAGTTAAAATGCTAACAGTTAATGTTAGTTGTGCAGAGCCATCGTCGCCCTTAGCAGCAGCCTGTAATACCAGCTCCTTTAAACAGAGCAGCGTCGTTTTGCTCTTACCAAGCCAGAGCTATGAATTAACTATCAGGGCAATAAATACAGTTTGTGAGTATTACTTAGCATATTAATACTTATTAGGGAGGACAGGGAGCTGCAGTACAAGTTTAAGGCCCGGATGGAGTTAAAGGGGCTGTGTAGGCCCCTTTTTGTTGTGGTTAGACAGCTGGGGGTCATGTGGCCCTCTGAATAGGTCAGTTTAAAAGAGATAACGTTACACATTTTTAAATGAGTGACTGTTAATCACGATCGTAAAACGAGTAAATTGTTAGTTGGGCCGGTTCATGAGCAGCCAGTTATTGAGGAGGACGTGCATTTCTCTGTCACTGAGCAGGAAACCGTATTGAGTGGGATTTAATTACAAATGTCTTGTATTCAATACAGCAAAACATACTTCTCTCAAAAGAAGAAACCTGTCTGTCGTTTTAAGCTCACAACATGTTTCCTGTATTGCAGGCCACAGGCTGTTTGGGCTTAATGCAAATGACTTGTTGAATTTAGTTTCAGTTTTCCTTGTAGTAGGAACTTACGGGATCTATGCTTAGGCTATCTATGTTCCATGGATCCAACTGCCTAACCCTAGAACTGAGGAATACAGGACCCTGGGAACATATGAATGACCCCGGAACTCAATACAAATAAGAAACATCATATTTACAGATAATGCTGTTTTAACATTGTGGGTGGCAGATGTGTGAATGAAGTTGTGCGTGAGAAGCTGCAATGCATTTTTTAGTGTGTGTGTGTGTGTGTGTGTGTGTGTAATTTAGTTTAAGCCAAAATAACATTTTGTCACTATCCAAACCACAAGTGTTGCAGAGAAAATGCATATGGGAAGTGGGTTACTATTTTCTCACACGTCCATCCTAAGACTATCAAGTGTGATGAAACACTGAAGGTGGTGTATTTATTGCATTGAGAGAATTGTTTTTTATGTGGGGCACCTGTGAATGTGCCAATGTCAGATTTAGATATGAGTTTAGCAAGAAAACTAATTTATATCTCTATTCCCCATACAGTTAACAAAAACAAACATTTCAAGCGACAAAATACAAATATACATTACACAAGTACAAAAGAACAGAATTTGTTGTGCAGCATGTCAGGTTAAGAGTGCTCACAGTTCTGGTTAGTCTTAAGCCATTGTTTGAGATGGGTCTTAAAGGTGGGATTTAAGGCGGAAACGATTCATTGATTAAACTGATTAATTTGATTACTAAAAGGCATCAACGCAAATTCTTTGCATCGATGCTTCGTTTAATCCATAAAACTATGTAGCGCACTGTTGCGCTGTGTGAACACGACGTGATTATGATGGTGCTATTTGCAATGTGGAGGAAGAGGGAGAAAACAGCGAAGGACGAAGAAGAAAGTGTCCAAAGTATGGAATTATTTCAAGCTAAAAGAAAACAACAACTCTGTAATGTCACAGAAGGCTATAACTGTTGAAGGCTAGCAAAAGTAAGCCGCAGTCCTCAGCTGTAAATGTAGATAAATGTAAATCTAGTATGGCTACAACTAACAGTGCAGTTTTCAATTTATCTGTCAATTATCTTTACAATTAATCGTTAAGTCTATAAAATAAAAAGCCCACTTGCATCTTCTGAGTCAGATTTTCAAAAAACATTTTAATTTTCTGCCGTGTGATGTTTATTCCAAATGAAGCTGCTTTTTATATAAAAGTTGATAGTGACTTAATGAAGCACATGTTTGACACGTGCCTGCTGATCCCAGAAGAATTTGCAAAAAAACCTTTTTGATTTTGATACCCTCAGAAGATAGCATTTGTGCATCTTTCTACTCATGTTTTTGATAAGTACTTTGTAATTTGTTGTCAAAATTGTGGTTAGTAGTTTGAATAAGACATACTTTTTTGTTACATTACTAGAATTAGAAATGTTGTTTCTTTTGAAATTCAATTAACATTTTTACCCGGTGGGCTTAAATTCCCCATGAAATCAGATTAGTTGTTTAACTGTTTTTATATGTGCCAGTAACAATGACAAAACAGTTGTCTTGAGTTTGTCATTTTCTGAAAAACAATAAGAAAATGTTGATGACTCATCCTGCACTCGGGGATATGTATTAATTTAGCGTTCAGTGAAAAGCGTGTTTCTGGGGGTGGGCCGGGCCTCACTGATTGGTGACTCTCAAGTCAATGCTGTAATGGCCCTGGAGCTATCGCGTGGAGTTTGCTGTACTAAGGCCCCATCCATCTGCGTTTTGGTTTTAAAATGGAGACCTTTTGCTACCTTTACACCTTTCGTCCAGACTAAAACAGCGAAAAAAAAGACCTAAAACTGAGAAGTTTGAAAACGCTGCCAACCCCGTTTTTTGTTTTAAAACTTCAGATAGCGTTTTAGTGCAGATGGGCAAAAATGGAGGACTTTAGAAACAAAGACGCAGACGCTCACGCTTGGCCCTCTGATTGGGCAAAGCAGAAACAGGATGCTACTGATTTGCAAAAGACTTATCTGCTTACACTTGTACTGTGCATCACTGTTTACTTTGCGACGACTCCCAGTCTGCCACAGCTGCTTGAATAGATCATCTGCGTCATGCTTACACGGACATGCACATGCCCAGCGTACCTATGTGAACGGCCACTACATGTGCGTTTTAATATAGACGGAGATCAATTCTGAAATGCAGCTAAAACCTGGTGTGGACGGAGATCGTACTCGTTTTAAAACTCGGCTTTTAAACAAAAACGTGTAGTGTCGATGGGGCCTTAGTGTCACTGGTTGGTCAAAGTCTCAGGGCTGCTGCAGCTGCAATGGCCATTCACACAGTAAGCAAGCACTAATCTTCAGTAGGATCAATAATAGGAGGGGTGTGGAAATGTGTAAAGACCTGCGATGATTAGGCAAATTAACAAGCTGATGTATACGCCATAAAAAGCGATGGACAGGCATCATTATTTAGTAACCACGATCCATGTGCAAAATGTATATTATATGACATTAGATTTGATTGGAATATAATGGAAAAACTATATCCTTGACCACTAAAAATATAATTTTTTGTGTGGGACTATGATGAAGAGACACACTATTAAAGTTTGTTACAAATTTAATAACAAACTGGAAAAAGCCATCAAGTTCTTAAATGAACTCCAGCACAGAGAAAGAAACAAACTTAAAATCGCAACAGTTTGGAAGGTCATTAAAACATTTACATCCGACAAGAGCTGCAGATAAGCTGGAAGCAGTCTGTGTCTGTCTGAGCGTCGGAGTGATTTTTTAACGTGCTTTATTATCTGTTGTAATCAGCTGGTCTGTTTGTTTTGGAGAGGAGGAGACCGATTGATAAAAAAAATGAAAACAACTACTCCGGACCTAGTATTTAGCTTAACACCATCAGCTGTTGGCTGTGAACACACCGCTGCATGCATATTTCTGAGCTATAAATATAATACCGACGTGTGTGCTATTTGACTGTTTTGGGGGTAAAATAAAGACCCTGTGGTGGAAACACAGTTGGTTCCTCTGAAGGTAAAATTTTACTTTTTCCAATGATAAATATGCAATTTCACATCATTTGGGACCATTATTTTTACCATATCTGTGAACAAATAGTTGGACAAGCTAGAGCAGATAATGAATAAACAACAACCATAAAGCTAAGGGCTAAACTTGCTGAAGAATTTGTCTGCGGAGGGACCAAAACCAAACTATTTTGGAAAAATTATTTAGTTTTAGTTCACACCCTCTCTCTACAGTGATTTTTACGTTCATGGCACAGCACCCAAGTTGTTTTGGGCCTTACCTCCTAAACCTAACGGCGGCGAAACCCTGTTAATATGACCTTTGAATCATTACAGATAGGAATTTTCATGTTGCCTTTTGTGTCTCAAATTTTAACTAACTCACTATCAGAACTAAGATAACAAAAGTCTGTAGTATCTGCACCACACTACAGTGTTTCCCATTCACTGATATATATATTTGTGGTGACATGACGCCACAATATCAATGCTGACCGCCATATAGGCTACTATTAATTAGGAGTAAAATTTGAGTTTCCCGCAGGGCATAGATTCGCTCAGCTGCTCCGCTTGCTTCCTCCCTCTCTCTCACAAATGGAAACGGAGCCGTGTGTCAAATTAACGCTAAGAAGTTACTCTATATATTTTCTTAACAACGCTGTCAGTGTTGGAGACCTATAAGTTATAAGCAAGCATGTAAGGTGCCTAGCTAATAATTCAGCAATAGCTGATGACGTGCCGTGGTATATGCTTATTATATCACAGTTAAGTTACAGTTGTTTGACCCCCTTAACTGTAAACAGTTACCAAGTATGGCAAAACAGAAAGTAGGCTAACAGACGCACTACAATTTGACTTTATTTCATTAACAGACATTTCTTTATGAATACAAAAAGTAGTCGCACCAGGCTGCAGGGAGGCTACATAGCACATGACCGGGGGTGGAGCTTCATTGTAGGCTCACCTGCTACAAAGACATATTAACCAAGTTTACATGACCCCAGACTCACTCCGAAAGTCCACAGAGTCTGTCTGCTTTGCTGCTGCCGGAGCAGCCTTTCTACTAAATGTTTGTGCTTAGTGTGTCCAGGACGCGTCCTAGCGTCAAGCAGCACAGCACAGATGAACCAGGCAGGAAGTCAGACACAGAAACGGCAGAAAAACGGTCAATTTTTAAAAATAAAATACCCGTTACAGACTTCTGACTGTATATCAACAATAAACACAGCTAAATAAGACAAAAAAGATTTTGCTCCGTAGCCATAGTAGAAGCACAAAAAGCAAGCACTAATCACCAAATCAACAAAATCTGAGCATGTCGGCAAAGTCCGGCAGGTAAAACACTCCACCTGAAATGCTCCCTGTGGTAGTTGCTAGACGCACCCGTGAAGACAAGAAACGAGAGCTTTGAAGTATGTAGTAGAAGCACAAAAAGGACAATTAAAAACAAGTCATTAACGTGGGGCAGGCTACGTGCTTCGCTGCAGAAATGCTCCTGAGAGGCTTCCAGTGGAAGTTGACGCCGTAAATATACTGCCGCGCACATGTAGCCTACGCCCCTCCCTTCCCATGATGCATGAGGGTGAAGGAGTTTTGTTAAAATGTGCTAAGTTTGCCATTTGTTTGAAATAAAAATGTTTATGATTTATGTTTATTAAAACATGTCTCCTTAGAATCTAGTGTGTTTGTTGGTAATTGTCGTAGTGGTGGTTTACCATTGAAACCATGAATGAAGGGACTGTTTCATTTGATAAGAGCTGCTGAATTCTCCCAGTACAGCGTATCGTTACATACCGTTGTTGTTTGTTCGTGTCCACTATAATCAGTCAAGCAAAACTTCATCGTCCACGTAGTGGGCCCCCTACCAGTGTGGGACCTGGGTTGGCCACCCCCATGCACCCTCGCTATCTCTGCTTTTGTGCATGACGGTTGCTAAGCAACATACATCAAAGGCTATAAATGTTAGAACTATTTATATCTATGTGCGTTGCTGTTTGTTGTGCAGCCACTAAAACACTGTCTAGCGTCAGTAGATTTTGGTAACTTGAATTTATAATATGCTTGCTACTGTGTGCCAGCGGCCAGCAGTGTGTAAAATTATAACAATTTAATATTGAATTGGAATTGCGTCTCTCCTTGAGCAATAGTCTTTTGAACAGGCTATTGAAACTTAAACTTTGTTGCAATATGGCAGACATCTGGGGCAAGTAGTGGACTGCTGTGTGTGTGTGTTTGTGCGGGTTTGTGTGTGACAGAGAGGGAAATGTTGAATCATGTAATAAGCAATGATTTCTCTCTGCCTCTCTCTCTCACACACTCTTTGATTATTTATTTATTTATTTATCTCCACCGGTAAAATGCGATATCTATATCGGATTACATTTTAATACCAGGTGTAAATGAGGCGTGAGACCCCCACAAAGCTCAGATTATAACTCGAACCCTGTTTGTCGCGGAGTGATACGGATCTGTGCAAAGGAATTTGACGTCATACCCGTTGTAAACACTCATTATATCACTACTATGAACCAATCAGATAACTATGTTAACCTTACAATACAGCTGGGTTTTCGAGATTAGCAAGTTGCACATAGCTGCTGTTCAATATTGAATAATAATTATAATTATCTCAATATAATGTTCCCCAATATCAATATAATAGTACATTATAATAATAATATAATAATAATAATAATAATAATAAAAAATATTTGGTTTAATTCATTTGAATCACTGACAAATTAGCCTTGAATTTTTCTATAAAAATATAGAATTATTTTTTTGAAGGAAAGGGACTGAAAAAAGATTTACTAATCATATTTTTTGAAAAGATTTTATCATAATAGTTTTGAATGTTCTACCTCAGATTTGTTAAATGATCCACTGTTTGGCGTAAGTGTTTATCACATTCTGACCATAAAGAAAAGTTTAACCACATAATTAACCATCTGGTTTCTTCAGTTTTCACTCAGGAGTAAAAATCAGCAGTTAAACTGGAAAGAAATAACGATTTGACAAATATCGTGATAATTATCAATATTGAATGATATGAAATGTTTTTATCATGATAAAATTTTTGGCCACATCGCCCAGCCCTGCTCTTAAAGCTAATAAGCCTTTTTCTTCCATGATGGCATTTCACTGGCATGCTGCAACGTAACACCACCTCCTGGAGATTGGATCACTAATTGGTGATCTTAAGGTAGCCATGATTAGACTTAAAGAAAAATAGAGAAAAATATAAAAGACAAATGGAGAAGATCGCCCAACCCTAGTTTGCATCCCTTGCTTTTCTAACCACAATGCCTCCACAGTCACCACTGCCCTTTCTTTTGATAACATCCAACTATTAGGATGTACAGTCGGGGTATAGGACAGAGCTGTAGGCTACAAAAGTTAAGTCTAAGCTTGTACCTAATGTTCTCAACACTGGACAAGTAGCCAGTAATGTAATGCAGCTACTAAGTTAGTTACTTCCTATATTATGACGTTTTTATATTATAAGACGTCAGCTTTCCTGCTCAGCTGCGCAGTCTGAACAGGAGGGGAGACGTTTGCTAGTGCTAACCGGCTTCACTTTTCTAGCTGTTTGGGAAACAAGATAAGTTAAGCTGCTCTTATAACAGAACCTGTCACATGTTCTGTTCTGTGAAGAATGAGGAGAGAAAACTAGCCAAGCGTTTAGTGTTACTGTGTCCTCGCACAGAGTGCAAGTGAAAACATTAGTAGCATATTGATTAATGATCGTGGGAAATTTCATTAGCGGCAATCATAACGCTGCTGAATGAATATAGGGGAAACCGTGACCTTCCTGACTAGTCTAAAAAGGGAGAGTGGCAGTTTAGAGGCAGGAGAAACAAAACTTAATTTATTTCTGTTTGTTTAAAAGCTTATCAGAAAGAAATTTCTTTAAAACAAATCCACTGCAACATATCCAAGGAAACATCACAGTCACAGGCAGCAGAAAACTACAGAGTACAGAACTTTCTGCACTTTGTCTTTTTTTTTTTTTTTCTTCCAGTTAGTGCTCAAATTGAATTTAAGTTTCTGATTTACTTCCTGGGGTTCCCTAATCCATGTTATCATTTATTTTTACCGCTATTTAATTCCTTACACCTAACTATGACTATTTGCTTTTGAATGGCACACAAAGGGAACTTGGGTTGTGTTTCTCACAGTAGATTTTACCTCTTAAAGGTTACTGTAAGTGGTATGCTCAAGTAGGGTATGAATATATTGACATGTTTGATGATAATTAGTTAATTGCTCCATCTATTTATACTTTAGAAATTTTAGAACTTCCAGAAAATAGTGAAAAATGGCCATTGCAGCTTCCTTAACCCCCTGTTTTGTCCACCCAACTCTCCAAAACCTAAAGATATTTAATATTTTTACAATTGAGAAGTCCCCACGACCTTGGACGCAGGATAAGTGGTTGACGATGGATGGACAATTGAGAAGTTGAAACAAGGGCATTTTGGGATTTTGGCATTTAAATGATTAATACATTCTCAAAGTAGTTGCGTTTGCTGTTGATTGACTTTCTTTCAGCTTTACAGTAGGAGCTCAGAAGGTCATGATTTGTTTCCATGAACACTAGTGACAAAAGTTGTTTTTGCTGTCCAGATGTCAAACAGAAACATTAACCTGCTTATCCTGTTATGATCAGACACTATTTGTTATCATTATTTTATTAATCAGCAGTTGTTCAGTTTGCTTTGCAAAAAGGTTGTGGCAGTTTGAAAGAAGCATAATTAGACTGAGTATGCTCTGATTGCCCATGCTCTCCCCTCCAGGTTTACCTGCAACCCTTAAAAGGCCCAATGGCTACCGACATGCCCACGGACACGGTGCCGTCTCCTCACCCTGCACCAGCCTTACCCCCTGACACCGCCCCAGCCTCCCCTCCTGCTGTCAGCTCCAGTGCAACCCAAGATCCGTTTTCGACCCAGAATTCAGCAATAGCTGAAAACGCTGAAACAGCGGTGACCTCAGAACAAGATGCTGCTCCAGTTCCCACCCCGGCCCAGCCTACAGACCCAGATGTGGCCCCAGGTTCTGAGCTGCCCTCGGTCTCTCTGCTGCCACCCCCACCGCCTCCAGTCAGCGCCAAGAACCCCAGCTGCAAGATCATGACCTTTCGGCCCACCATGGAAGAATTCAAAGACTTTGCCAAATACATTGTCTACATGGAGAATCAAGGAGCTCACCGTGCTGGCCTGGCAAAGGTGAAGACAACACGCATACAAATAGATAGTGCTCTCATATATAAACTCAAAGATTTTGTACAGTCCTGATTGCTGTTATGGAACGGTCTAATTGTTAAGTTACTTAAGTACAAAGTAGGGCTGAACGATTTTGGAAAATAATCTAATTGCGATTTTATTAACCAATATTGCGATTTACCACGCGATTAATTTTTAAGATCTTTACCTTCTGTATTATTCAAAACGGACAAGCAGTAAATCAGTGTATAGTATGACCAACCCAAAATTAGCTAGATTAAACATACACTGTTCTTTCTTTTGGGTCAGGCCTGTGTTATGATGAAATTAGTTGATGCATGAATTGCATGAATTATTATTATTATGTGCAATGGTGGAGAAGAAGTATCAAATTTTAATAATATGAGAAATATAATTTGAATAATATTATGTTAATTAAATAATATGGTATAATATCATCAGCCTGCGATGGACTGGCGACCTGTCCAGGGCCTCTTGCCTAATGTAAACTGGGATTGGCTCCAGCCCCCCGCGACCCTGTACGCAGGATAAGCGGTTGAAGATGGATGGATGGATGGATATAATATCATCAGGTCGACCTAACTACAGACCACAAGAAAAACTAAGTTCACCACTGTGTGTTATACAGTAAGCGCTCAATACAAAACCCACAGTTCAACCACCAATTAATGAGTCTCAGTTCAAATCTCCTAGGAGTCCATCTTTCTATATCCCAGTAAGCAAACAAAAAATACTCAGTTTGAGGTTCAGTTCAAATGTTGGCCAATGAAAATGAAACCAAGTGAGGCCTCTTGTGTTTAATAGACAAGCTTAGCACTTCTCCAACAGCACCAGCCTGTAACTCGGGACAGACTGGTGGCTGTGTGTGTGACGCAGACACCGATCGCCACAATACGCTTACCTTACTACACGTGTCTTTTCCCTGTCCGTCTAAGCGGCGGATGGCCACCAACTTACCAGCTGGTGGCGGGTGCTACTTTCATTCTCTGTGTGACACAAGTTTCTGTAGTGTCAGTTTCTGTCAAGCTTAAGGCCAGAGTGTAATCGCAACCTTTGCGATCAGAAAATCTCATTTTATCACATTGCGATAATATCGCAAATGCAATAAATCATTCAGCCCTAGCACAAAGTAAGTCTTCCACAAAAATTCCATATTTTCTTTCATTAACAAGTGAAAACTATTAAAAACAAAAATATTTTGACATTTTAGAAGTTGGAATCAGCAAATGTTTGGCATTTTGTTATGTTGTCAGAAGTGAATGTTGCGTCAAATAATTGATAGATCTGATAATCCGAATATCTATTGTTGTATACTGTGTACAGTGGAATTAAATAGGAATTGAATGTCCTGTCAGATTAGAGAGTTTTACCAGCCCCAAATAGCGTACAGTACGACTTGAATCGTCTTGTTGATAATGTTATTGTTGAGTGTAAAGATTTAGCCAAATATGGCTGCATGTCATTGTAAAACTGTAAGCTTACTGAATGTAAATCTAAATGCTAAACATTCTCCTTCTCTAGGTGATTCCCCCAGAGGGCTGGAAGCCGCGGAAGTCCTACGACACCATTGAGGACATGGTTATTCCAGCTCCCATCACGCAGGTGGTGACTGGACAGTCAGGTCTGTTCACTCAGTACAACATCCAGAAGAAGTCTATGACGGTGGGCGAGTACCGCAAGATGGCGAACAGCAAGAAGTAAGTTGGTACCCGGTCTAGAGGCCTCATTGATAAACGTGGCTGCTCTTTTAAGTTTTTGCACATTGTTAGCCATGTGTTTAGAAGGGATTGAGACTGATGATCAGAGGCTTCTCGGTCGTTTTTGTCATCCAAGTAATGTTTTATAAGATTTACGAATATTTTGATATCAATAATTAATGATATCCTCTGATCCATGTAAATGAAAATAACAAGGTGTGAGTATTTATTTATTCTTTTTCTATAGTTCAGGGGTAAAAAAAGATCTTAATCTACTGATTGAAGATTCTACTAAATGAAACCATGAAGAAGACCCAGGGGGATTCAATACTTTATTTAGACATTGTAAAAGCCTAGTTGCTGTAGGTTTGTTTTGGAGAGTCTTTTCTGCCCTCTAGCGGTCATAAAATTCAAGGCAAGTCAAGTTTTTTTTTTTTTTTTTTTTTTTTTTTTTTTTTGTATAGCACATTTCAACAGCAAAGCAATTCAAAGTGCTTTATAATAAGGTATTTAAATACAGTTAAAGAGTTAGAAAATAAAAAGAAGATAAAACTCCACCTTTAAAAGATAGGATGTAAAAGCCTCCCATATGTTTTAAGGATAGACCAACAGTAAAACCATACCTATTTATTGAGAAAATGTCTAAGCATATGCATGTGAAATACCACTACTAATAAAAAGAAAGAATACTAATGTTGATATATTGCGTATCCTTTTTCCATTACTGCAGTTAAGAAGTTACTGTTATTGCAAGAGAAATGGAGAATATCGCCATCAATGAATTGTTCTGAAGTAGTACCTGTTGTAAGAATGTATTTATCCTGTTTGAGTCATATGGCTCCAGTGTGCAGTTTGTACATCTAAAGTAGCTGATATGCTACTGATTGAAAATCGGTCAATGCTTTATGCTTGCCAACATAGGGGTTTAGTTAAAGCACCATCTCCCTGTTCACTGCTCACAGTATGACTGGTCCTGTGCCATTTACAGGTACTGCACACCCCAGCACAAAGACTTTGATGACCTAGAGAGGAAGTACTGGAAGAACCTAACATTTGTGTCACCCATTTATGGTGCAGATGTCAGTGGCTCCATCTATGATGAGGTAAGGGTTTTGTGTGTGTTCCCAAGAAGTGTGTTAGAACTCATTGATTCGGGCTGATTTGCTAACCCTGTTTACTTTGATCAGGGTTATTAATCCTGCCTATGACTTTATGATTTGAGGACAAAAAAGAATTCCACTTTAGGCATTTTATTTGAACTGCTTTCAATGACGGAGGACGACCTTTGACTGGAATTTATATGCCGTGGCCATTATGGGTTGTATGCCCGTCCGCCATCAGTCCCATTATGGTGAAAGTGATTTCTTAGGAACGCCTAAAGGAAGTTTCTTCAAATTTGGCACAAACGTCCTCTTGGACTTTGCCAGCATCAAAAAAGGTTTCCGCACCAATTGTCAGCAAGTACATTTTTGTTTGACTACAACACCATCTGGTGGTCATTGATAGACATTGAAGAGCACCTTGAGTGTAGGATGCAGACTACTGTGTACATGCTAATCCTTGAAATGCCTGTCTCTATTCAGGACATTCAAGAGTGGAACATTGGCCATCTCAACACCCTGCTGGATATGGTGGAGCAGGAATGTGGCATAGTCATTGAGGGTGTCAACACTCCTTACCTGTACTTTGGCATGTGGAAGACCACATTTGCCTGGCACACAGAGGACATGGACCTCTACAGCATCAACTACCTGCACTTTGGACAGCCAAAGTCCTGGTCAGTCACTGTTTGTTTTTCTTTTTTTTTTGCTTGAAGCTTAACCTCAGTCCTTTAGCTTGTAATTGGTTTAAAACCCTGTGCTTGTTGCATAGTCATAGAACGCAGCTGTAGTGTGTGTAAACTGTTGCTACTAATTATGTTCCAACAATGGATGCTATACTTTAGGTGACAGGAGCTGCCGTGTCATGCTGCATAGACAGCTGCAGGATATTCAAAGCCACTTTTAGGACTATGCTCTGATTAGGGTTATTTCTGATCTTTGATTGAATTGAATCACTGATTATTATTGATCTATCCACTAATGATCACTGATTAGTTTGTATTCTAAAACCCTTGCATGAGGCACCCTGTAAAAAGCATTGCTTTACCTTATGTCCAAATGTTGATGTCTATTTTTGAACTACTAGTTACACATTTCCAACATGATTCGTGCCTCTTGTACCTAGGTCTGAAACGATTCATTGATTAAATCGATAAAATTGATTAATAAAATGCATCGACACAAATTCAGCACAGTGTTTCGCATGGACATTTATTACTGTCACACATCGTGCTTATGCTTTCAACACAATGTGATTATAATGGAGCTGTTTGCAAAGTGGAGGAAGAGAGAGAAAATAGCGACAAAGAAAAAAGTGTCCAAAGTATGGGATTATTTCAAACTAAAGAAAACAGCAGCTCTGTAATGTTACCATCCGTCTACTGTAGAAACTTACACTATATATATTACTTATACTTATTACTTTTACATTCTGGACAGGTCTTTCTCCACTGCATGCTTAATTGAATTATCTCAAAGCAGCTTTCAAAATCTGATGATAAAAGCTCTCTAGTGTACATCAGAAGCCCTCAACCCATTTGCCTCAGTGAATCGGTCCAAAGCACTCATGGCTGGGCTAGAGGGTGGGAAGTTTCCATTGGGTATTAAAGATTACAACTTTATGACAGCTATGTCATTCACATTTCTCAGATTTTTGTTTTTGACTTGTTTTTCTGGAGCAGCAAGCTTTAGATACTCAGAAATGTGTTCTCTGCTATACACTGTAATGATGTTTATTTGTGCTGCTTTGAGCATGTGGCTCCTTATATGGCAAACTTCTGAGCGATTTGATCGTGCTTGGCATTTTTTATTATTTTTTGGATTTGACCTTTTTAGTTATTGGGACAAACACTTCATGAATAATGCCAGAATTCAGTTTTGTTCATCGTCTCATCTTCTACCATTTCCAGCTGTGTTTAAGCATTGTCTGTGATTCTAGAGGGATCTGTGGATAATTCCTGATTTGGGGAGAAAACAAAATAGGAAAACAGTTGCAATTTGTATATCTCTGAAGAATGTAGAACAAAGAGAAAACAGTACAATGACCTGATTTTCACAGGTGTTATGAAATTTGAGGTTTCATCCTGACTTCACTCTTGTGAATGCACAGAAAGTTTAACTGAAACCAGTTATAGCAGCTGTTGCTATTGACAGTGATTTCTATTCTGTGCATCATTATTCCTTCCCTGGAGGTCCCTTTTTTGTCTTTTTCGTCGTTTAAACGCAACAGGTGAGATACGTGTGTGTGTGTGTGTGTGTGTGTGTGTGTGCTACACAGCTAAGTTACCTAGCTAGTAGCAACAAATGAACATTAGTTATCATTACCGCTTAACATGTAGATGACTTATTTCATGGGCTTTTCCGTCTTAATTTCTGATAGGATTGAGAGAGAGAGAGGAAATCAGGGAGAGAGGGGGACTAAAATTATCTTTTAAATTCACAAATCTCATATGTGTAAATCAGGGCTCAATTCAACCGGGATCAAAAAATTTGTTGTCTCTTGACATTAACTAACATACAAATTTTTTCCGTACTAAGGTCACAGGAGCTGATGCGGAAGGAAATTACTTCTCTGAATGTAAAATTCTTTGACTGTCTCTCATCTCGTCCCCCTCGTGTCATACATGCTGTGCGTGTGTCTCCCTCACTGAGTTAGAGGTGCAATGCACAGATTTCATTTCCTGATTAGCGTCACATGAGATGGCTATGGGCTACTAAAACAGTGCTGTAAAGGCTAGAAAAGCTGTGTGGGTTAAAATAGAAACACTCCGGCATGCTACACTGACTTCTGTCACCAGCAGCTCAGCTTTCACTGTTTTATGGGGGGAGGTTTTAACAAAAAAAACTCACGAATACAGTCCTATACCGTATACCCCGAAGAAATGTCTTGGAAGGTATGAAAGAATAGATACCGCCCAAGCCTTATGTGTGCATGTGTGTTTTGCTTTTTCTCTTCTTTTCCTCCACATTGTTTTCATTCCATGGCACTGCAGGTGGTGAGCAGAGCCATCCTAGCCTTGGAGTATTCAGAAATACAGTATTACTGTGTCTGTGTGTTTTTCTTTTCTTTTTTTTTTCTTCATTTGCTCTCTCACCTGTCTTCCTTTTTGTCAAAGTATGCTTCTCTTCCACCTTCCTCTCTCTCCTGTCGGCCTCCTGGAGTAATGTATGGTGTGTGTGTGTTACCAGTTTCCTCCCTCTGTGATGTGATCTCATTAAAATCTTCTATCTGTCTGGTTTTCATACCTCTCACTGAGAACGGGAAGGTATAATTACAACTTACTGTCAGTGTGTGAATCCGTGTATGGTTTGTTCTTTGATTATTTCAAAGCAGATACACTTTGGCGAGGGCGGTGCCTGATTAAATGTAATTGAGATGAGCTTGAACATCAACATAAGTGGGTTTTTCATTTCTTCAGTATCAAATTAATTCAGTGATAGTTGTCAGTACATCCAATGATACACGGCAAACATGTATTAGTTAAATTGGCAAGCTGTATATTAATGAATCATACACTTAATAGGTTCGGGTAATTTTCGTTCAGCCTCTCTACACTGTTTCAACCTGACCTTCATTTTCTTTGTGAGATGGAAGAATTTAGAAAGTTTCGTGGCACTGCAGTAACACATGGATAAGGCTATGCATAAAATCAGGCGCATCAGACGTCATCCAGCCAGAGGGAACGACCACTGACCGTGCAGTGCACCCGTTCCACTGGCAACACAACCCATAGTAGGGCTACCAGAGAGGGAGTGGGGCGTTGGAGTGTACATGGCGAGGGAGAGGAGGTCGCAGGAGCGGTGATCGTTTCCTCTGGTTGGATGTAGCCCGACGCAGACCACAGCTGTTGCAAACAACAGGTGCACATGTATAGCAGCCAGTTAGTTTGAAAACCATTATGGACACCTGTCATAGATAAAACAAAACGAAATAGTGAAAGAACGAACCATCCACAGATTTGTGTGCAGTCCATGTAATCGGTGTATGGTTCGTGCTTTGATTATTCCGTTTCAAAACCAAAACTGAAAGACAATAAACAAAAAAAACAGACTTCTGTTTTTAAACGCAACACGGAAAAACAAAGCAGCTGCATTTTTTTCCCGATGACCCGTGTTGTATCTCTACTGGTTTTCAAACTAACTGGCTGCTGTACACGTGTGCCTGTTGTTTGAAACAGCTGTGGTCTGCCTCTGTCCCCAGATTGGTCACACTTAACAAAACATAGCCTATAGACTATATTTCTTTTTCAAGTTGCATCGCATCTCATAGTGACTGTGGCGAATATGATTGTAGAAGTGAGCACTACATTATAGCTACATACGAAAAAAGCAATTAAAGAAAATGTATGGTAGTGATGCGTTGCTTTGCTTGCGAGCCAGTCAAACACTCAATTATTCTATTTCCAGTCAATTATTGATTAAGTAGGTCATCATCCAGATAGCATTTTGTTTTGGGCAGATGTGAAGCAGCTGGTTACCTGACCATCTTAAGAAAATACCCTAATATGTTTATCAAGGGTTTTTTGCTGAGGCTACAGCCAGGGTGTGAGCTACAGGTGAGCCAGCCTCTTCAAAAGACACGAGCTCCCCTGAAAGCATGATTTTTGATATTTTGGGGAGTGTCTAAAATATTGACAGCATGCTATTTTTGCTATTCACTTCTATTTTTCTGTATCATCATGGATCATGCGTAAACGAGGAGCGTCGGGCTTCATTCTCTTCATTAAGGCACATGGCATTGATTGAATCAACCACTTACAGGACAGCTGTCTCAGAACAAGAGAACAAAAGTGATAAAGTCCCAAGATCAATTGTATAGAGTACATTTAAAAAGGCTTCTGTTGCAGATTTCATATATTTGAGGCAAAATTGAAATTTTGTGATTTTCGGGCTATATAAGTAAAATTGACAAGAGTTTAATAACAGAATACAGTTGTTGTTTTTCTGGAGTGTTCATGTGTGTTGTGGCACTGGGAAATAGCACAATGGCAGCTTGTGGAGCATCAACTGAGATAATATCCGTTTAAAGATGCGGTCAGTGTGTTGTTTTACACAGAAGATAATAAGTACAGGTAATCTGACATGCAGTGTAGGCCACCACTCTGTGTGTGTTCCCTTAAGATACACAGATAATTGTTTTTGTAAGAATCTTTGGAATTACAAAATCATTCAAGCTTTCAAATATGCCATAATATACAGTCAGTAATTGATATTTAGAAACAAAAATGCACATTAGTTATTATTAGTATATTAGTTGGACAACTTATTTGTCTGCACGTCACACTTGCCTGCATGGCTTTTTAAAGCTGATACCTGCCCACGCTGAGTCTGCAGTTTGCCAACACATTAACGTTACACTGACGTTTCTTTTTACTGGCGAAAAACGAAATCAAAAAAATCGCATTAGAAACTCAACATCCTGCAGTTGTTTTGTACCGTTTGCCAATCAAGAGTTGTAGTGACGTGACAAGTGGTTGTCAAATGTTATTTGTCTGATCTCAATCAAGCGGCAAACTCTGAGACTGAAAAGTGAAACCGTGCAGGCGGAACTTAAACCGCCATTCTCTCTAACGGCCAGCAGGGGGCGAGTCCGCTGGTTGCAAATAGAAGTCCGGTTCCATTACAAATATTGGCAAAATGACTTTTATTTCTCACCTGATATATTACCTCAGTAGAC